GATTGTACTTAGGAACACACACACACAATTTATAAAAACAACTAAAGAAAAAGAGGTAAAAGTACTTGGATTTGAGAGAGGCAGGGGCAGTGTAGCATGGGAGGAGCTTGAGAGAGATAAGAAAAATGATGTAATTATATTAATATCCTCCATCAAATTTAAACAAAGAACAAATGCTTTATCATGAAATATTACAAGTCCTAGGCTATAATTCATCCACAAAATTTTCAACTCAAATGATAAAAAAGTATGTAACAATCACCAATGACAAGATTAAACTGGTATTGGAGTTATTAGGAAACACCCTTGAAAGGAAAGGTAAGACAGAATGTATCAGCTGATAAATAGAAAACATACCTCACAAAGGAACCAGATGGACATTATAGAGTTGGAAATTACAGAGACAACAATGCTAATGGAACATGAGAGGGCTCAAAAGCAAACTAGAGATGACAGAATAGTCTTTGAATTGGGAGGGTGACTAACAGAAATGTCCCAAGATCTCTAACGAGGAAAAAACCAAACATGCAAAAACAGTCTTGAAAGCATTAAGGAACATATTGGGGGAATAACAACACTTTTTCCATGAATGTCACACAAAACTCCAGAAGGAGACATAGTGAGGTGATGTGAAAAAAAATAACAGACAGGAAGGAGTATGGATTAAGACTTTCTACATCTGAAAAACATACATTATAGCTGACTATATGGTTCATAGAATAAACTAAAAGCAACCCACATTCATAACATCATAATCAAACTGCTGGGAACTAGGACAAAAATCTACCTTATAAAGAAACACAAATTAACTAACTGGGTTTCTTATCAGAAACCATGGAGGCCAGAAGGACCATTATAGTATTTTTGAGGTGGTAAAATGAATAGAATAGTCTAGAATTCTGTGTCATCCATCAGTTAAAGTCATTTTTTTTTTTAGGAATGAAAAAGAAGAAATAGAGATATCAGTGATGGTATTTTTGAGGCATTTGTGGATAATGCAAGCCAACTGTGGGATGTCGGGGGAGAGTAAGGTTATCGCTATAGTCTAACTGAAGGAGTCAACTACTGATTCTAAACAGAATAAAAGGTTAACCATCCATGTAGTTACTACTGAAAGAGCTACTGAAACTCTTAATACAGAGAAGTATCAGTCATTGTAGATGAGTTGAAGAGAATGCAAAAAAAAGTTTTAAAAAATCCAAAGAAAAGCATATATAAGGAAATAGAAAAAATTAGAAGACTTAAGCATAAATACCTGAGCTACCTTTTTCCTGAAGGGTGTTCTGAGCATACCATATGTTAGCAGACATCTTGCCTCTTGATTCAGGAGAACTGAATGTTAACGTGCAGCAATGTTAATGCACATTCAACACAAAGTACTGTTACACTGAAACTGCCCACTAGCGGTTTTAAGTTAGTTGTTTTTTTTTTTTTAATATTCTTGTTTTTGCACAAAAGTAAAATATACTCTGAGTTTATTGCACATGATGTTTACTAAGTGATTATATTCCAGCTGTAGTTATAGCTTTGGATTATAAGTTCCTATATTTGGAGGAAGTAAAAGAAAAATTAATCAGACATACTTTCAACATCTTTTTTCCTCTGAACACTTTAGGGATTATTTCCTCAGTGACAGAAGCCATTTAGGAAAGGCAAGCAAGTGAGTTTCCTGGAGATGGTCCACTGTTTTGCGTGGGTGGGTGCACTCTGAAAAGGGTACAGCCCCAGAGACTCTATCCCTGGATTCCTTCTCACTGCTGATGTGCCTTTCCTGTCACTATTAAATAGCGTAATGGTTCCTGGGCATTAGCCCACACTACTGCAGCTCAATATGAAGATGAACTTTCATGAATTAATGCTAGATGAATTAATTACATCATAGCATTCCTAATTTGATTAAAATAATTTTAGGAAGAAAGTTTAAGGAGATGGTTTTAGTTGTTTTGCCAGAAAGATGTAATAAAGTTAGAATCAAGAATAGGATGTGCCCCCTCCTGATAGAATAGTAAGTAAAGGCTGTATAATAAGGAACACAATGAGCTTTCATAAATTGCACTAAGAAGAGAAACAGACCTGTGACAGATTCGTGATCAAAGAAAAACATTCATTCTAAGTCAAATACAAGGATGAGGCCAGATGCTTCCAGTCTGCGCCTATGCCTGGAGCAGTCCTAGGGCATCAGCTCTGCACTCAATCTCCCAAAACCCAGAGGAGGCTAGACTCCTAGGAGCTTTAACATGCCCAGGAACATAGAATAATAGGATCACAGGATCTCAGGAGCTTGGGCACATCAGGATTTCAGGATCCCAGAAGCAGCCTGACTCCCAGGAGCTATCACAGCCAGTATCTCAGGATCACAGGATCACAGAGACAGCTGGACTCTGAGGATTTCTGACCCAACCAAGATAACAGGACAGACAAGCTTCAGTCAGAGACAGTGAGTGAAGGTAGCACTAGAAATAACCAGATGGCAAAAGGCAAGTGCAAGAACATATACAACAGAAACCAGTTACCTGGCATCATCAGAACCCAGTTCTCCCAGAGAGCAAGTCCTGAATACACCATGAAACCAGAAAAGCAAGGTTCAGATTTAAAATTACTTCTAATGATGATGATGGAAGACTGTAAGAAGGACATAAATAACCCTCTCAAAGAAATATAGGAGAACACATGCAAATAGGTAAAAGCCCGTAAAGAGGAAACACAAAAATCCCTTAAAGAATTACCAGAAAATACAACCAAACAGGTGAAGGAATTAAACAAAACCACTCAGGACATAAAAATGGAAGTAGAAACAATAAAAAAATCACAAAGGGAGACTACCCAGGAGATAGAAAACCTAGGAACAAGATCAGAAGTCATGGATGCAAGCATCACTAAGAGAATACAAGAGATAGAGGAGAGAATTTCAGGTGCAGAAGATACCATAGAAAACATTGACAAAATTGTCAAAGAAAATACAAAAATCCAAAAAACTCCTAACCTAATACATCCAGGAAATCCAGGACACAATGAAAAGACCAAACCTAAGGATAATAGGTATAGAAGAAAGCAAAGATTCCCAACTTAAAGGACCAATAAGTATCTTCAAAAAAATTATAGAAGAAAACTTCCCTAACTTAAAGAAAGAGATGCCTATGAACATACAAGAAGCTTACAGAACTCCAAATAGACTAGATCAGAGAAGAAATTTCCCCTGTCACATGATAATCAAAACACCAAATGCACAAAACAAAAAAGAATATTAAAAGCAGTAAGGGAAAAATGTCAAGTACTATATAAAGGCAGACCTGTCAGAATTACACCAGACTTCTCACCAGAGACTATAAAAGTCCTGGACAGATGTCATACAAATCTTAAGAGAACACACATGCCAGCCCAGGCTACTATACCCAGTAAAACTCTCAATTACCATAGATGGAGAAACCAAGATATTCCATGACAAAACCAAATATACACAATATCTTTCCATAAATCCAGCCCTACAAAGGATAACAGAGGGAAACCATCAACACAAGGAGGGGAAATTAAACCCTAGAAAAAGCAAGAAAGTAATCTTCTTCCAACAAACCCAAAAGAAGATAGCAACACAAATATAACTCCACCTCTAATAACAAAAATTACATGAAGCAACAATCAATTTTTCTTAATATCTCTTAACATCAATGGACTCAATTCTCCAATAAAAAGACATAGGCTAATGGACTGGATACATAAACAGAACCCAGCATTTTGTTACATACAGGAAACACACCTTAGTGAGAAAGACAGACACTACCTAAGAATAAAAGGCTGAAAAATAATTTTCCAAGCAAATGGCCCCAAGAAATAAGCTGGAGTAGCTATTCTAATATAGAATAAAATTGACTTTCAATCAGAAGTTACGAAGAAAGATAAGAATGGATGTTTCATACTTGTCAAAGGAAAAATCAACCAAGATGAAATCTCAATTCTGAACATCTATGCACCAAATGCAAGGGCACCCACATTCATAAAATACTTCAAACTTTAAAAACAAAACAAAACAAAAGAAAACAAAAAACCAACCAAACAAACAAAAAAAACCAAGGATGAGGCCACAGGTATGCACCCCGATAAAGCAAGGCCACGGGAAACAGTTGCTTTGAATTTATAATGAGCTTACAGAATGACACACTGCTTTGAACTTAATATCAACATCCTTCTGTAACTCCTCTTTTGTGTAAAATTTTATCTACGAGGTAATTTTATTAAAAAAAATCTTTTGTCTGAGAAGGTATTAAAAGGCAGAGAGAAGAAATAAAGTGAGACTTTTGGGGCTCTGCCCCTCACACCAAATGTATATATGTATATACGTCTGTCTGTCTATGTACTCTTAAAAATTAAAAAAGTTCAGAGACTCTTGCTGGGCATTCTTGCCAGGCCTAGATAATTAAGTTTTGTTCTGTCAGTAGCATGGACCCTGTAAATCACCTGGTACTGCCATGCCCTCCGCCCCACCCCTGTTGGTTGATATCAGCATGACCCCAATTGCCGACTCCCTTTCACTGCCTGGCTTGGTTAACCCTGAGATGTCAAATCTGGCTTCTAACACCACAAGGGACTGAGAACAATAAGAAAAGATTTCTTAAATGTGTTACTTTTCTATTTTTCCTTTTTGTGGATACTTTGGAACATTCTTTTCTTGAAAGAAGTGATTGTAAAACTGGCAACTATTTAAAAAGTTAGCTGTGACGTTCTTCCAGAGAGTAACTGTAAGTTCTCTTTCCTTAGTTTGGGATTCTTCTTCTTCTTCTTCTTTTTTTTTTTTTTGGGAGAGCACTAGGGCCAAGGAAAGCAGAGAAGACACTGCTTTGATAGCATAGTGAGAGCGTCAGACAAGGAAAGCAGAGAAGACACTGCAGTTTGGAAGCACACAGGCATAGGTCAGAGTTGGGGTCAATACTAACAGCACAATAAAAGGAGTGTCAACCACTGTGTTTTCTCCTGTTCTCACATCTTACAGATTTATTTTATCTTACTGCATAGGAGGTCTGTGCATGAATCTTCAGGGCCACACCGAGAACAAAACTGCCCTGCTTGGTAAGGCCTCCTTGTCAGGGTTCCTCTAGAAGAAAAGCAGGAAGTAAGAAAATGAGTCAGGTTTTATGTTATAGAATGTTAATTAAATTTATGTTAATGATGTTATTAATTGTCACTAATTCAACAATGTTGTCTCCACTTTTAACTATTTTAAGAAGATGGTTAAGTTAAGAAAATTCATTTATTTTCTTTATCTTGGGTAAAACAACCAGTAAACAATGAGGTTTATCTCTCTTACCATCCTTCCTTCCTTTCTGTTTTTCTTTCCTTCCTTTTTTCCTCTTTCTCCTTCCTGGTTTAGTCCCAAAGAATACTCTTTGATTTAAGGTAGTCAAGTCTTTGTTTCTACTTAAGATGTTGGTTAGAATGTTTCCTATTTGGAAATCAGCCCTGTTACTAATAGTATTTTATCACTTAGGACTTCCAAAGAGAGTGCTTTGGAGATGCAGGCTATTGGTAGTGGTGGGGACGTGGGGGGTAGGGGGTGGGGGGTGAGGGGTGTAGTTGCTTGCTGTAAGTGGCAGGTTCTCAAGTATAAATAGTCACATGATGAGTAAGTAGGAAGAACTCAAGCTTCCATTGGGTAGTCTGACTCAAGACTTTCAGAGTGCTCTTCTGGCTCTGATGTTAATGGAGCCTTGTATGGCTCACATTAGTCCAAACGACCACCTTGTGGTCAGCTCAGTGTACTTCACGGTACAGGGCCGATGTATGCCTAAAACAATTCTCACTCCACAAATTTCAACGTAGCTTGAGCTTTAAAACTTTTATTAGTGATATGAGAATATATCATATTGAAAAATAACAGCAACCCGACAGACAGCAGCTCCTTTAGTTATAACTGGTTAACGCTAAGCTTCCTTCCTATAGGTGGTAGCCATTAAAGAGTTTGCGAGTAAATCCAATTTGCTCAAGGTATGACTTACTTCATATGAAATTTAAAATAGTTCATTATGAAGTCATTTATTAATATCACATATTTAAAGCTTTTATGGTTAGTAAAGACTTTAAAAACATTACAGGTTAGGAAAACTTAAAGTTGAAGTCTTCTCATTTTATCTTAATATCTCATTATATTTTTATTCCTTTAAGACCACTCACCCTGGTGCATAATTGCATATGAAAAGGGCTGCGTATGTGATAGCTCCAATCTTTGTACATGGAGTAACAGCACAACCAACTTTGTAGGAGTTGTCCCACACAAGCTGCAAGAAACAAGTCCAAAAAAATGTAAAGTTTATTTAGAAGTACGTATGCTATAAATACTATATTCCATTCACACAAAAGCTTTAAATTTGGACTATCAAAAATTTTTTAGACACATGTAGGGTACTGTTGTGAATTCAGGGACCATCTCCAGGACTATATAAATGTAAATATTGTCACAGTTTCCTATTACGGGGGACAGCTGAAGATCACTGGTCCAGGACAGAGCTATAAGCCAGTGAAGTCATATCTGATAAGGTGATTTGCCAAAACCTGATTAAATTGGAACATTTTAGGTCTTTGGCATGAGGAAGGAAAATTAGAGAGAGAGATGAGGAAGAGCTGTGTAAAAGTGGAAGTTTCTAGAAGGTAGAAAAAGAAACAACAGGGCCACAGACAGAAGCAAGCAAGACACAAACGTAAACAATGGCATCAGCAGCTTTCTTTCCTTTTGTAGAGGAAGCTGGATCACAAAATGAAATAAAGTATGAGCTCTGCATTAGGAAGGACCAAGAAGACCCAGCTGCACACACGCTCAGAGGAGAAGGGGAGGGGGAAGGATTGTGGGAAGGGTGACTGGAAGGCAGGCAATGCACAGGATATAAAGTGAATAAGTTAAAAAAAATAAAATAGGAAGAAAAAAAGAAAGAAAGAAGGAAAGGAAGAGAGAAAGAAGGAAAGAAAAGACCAAGAAGAGATCTGTTCCCCATAGCCAAAACAACAACAACAACAACAACAACAACAACAACAACAAAAGACTAGTGTAATAAGAGGCATTCCAGAAATTCTGTGTGATCTCAATATTAGTAAAATTTCAAGTAATGAAAACATTCTTCTTTTGACTCAATTCTTAACCAACTTTGGTTGTTTTAAAACTTCCATTCTTAAAGAAATAATAGTACAATATTAAAGAATAGAGACAAAAATTTGGCCAGGTGTTGGTGGCACACACCTTTAATCCCACCACAGAGGCAGGCAGATCTCTGTGAGTTTGAGGCCAGCCTGGTCTACAGTGTTCCAGAACTGCCAGGGATATATACACAGAAAGAAAATCTATCTCAAAAAAAACCCCAAACCGACCAACAAACAAAAATACCTCCAAAGCAACAATGACAAAATCTGAGGGTAGACCATTTGTCTAGTAACATGTGAGGCCCTGGGACCAACTCCTACTACTGAAAAAAAAAATTATAGCATGCCCAATACCAGAAACAAGAATGTCTTATTGGCTGGAATTACAGAGCAGAAAACAGCATCCTATCAGGAAGGAGATATAGGTACAGTAAGGGGTCTAGCCTTCCTATCCGAAGGAAGAAGGAGAAACTGATGAAAAAAAAAAAGAACCGATCAAGAAGTCTTTGAAGAATCCATTTGCTAGAAAATGAAGAGTAGAGTTAAAAACCATGAAGAAATTTCAAAATTATGTTTTACATGAAATATGATACAAGGTGACTGAGAAAATCATGTTATGTTTTAAATAAATTTGACTTCATTCCAGATCTCTTTGATTTTTGACATGAATATACATTGAAGAAAGTTAGTAGGTTTGTGTTGTTTTGAGACTGGATGGGTAGAAAGGCAAGGTCCCTGTTCTTGGTGGAGTTTGAGCTCTTTATGGTTCTGTGTGGAATAATAAAGGCAAGTATGGAAAATGAATGGAGGCTGGGAATTGCCTGGAGGGTGAGGTGAGCCCTGGAGTGCCGGGCAGGAGTCCTGGAAACAACACTAGAAGCCGGCCTATTAGACATATAGTCTGCCTGCTGATCTGCAGGGAGTCAGGGCTTTCTTTAAGTCTTCCTTCCATCTCTACTGTGTGCTAGTTTCTGAACAACCCTCTTGGTCTTGAAGTATGCAGACAATGGCTATTTCATGTATGATTCACATAAGGGATGAAGTGGTGGGCTTTTAAAGACACAGACAGGATTAAAATTTTTATGGTGTTGAGGGAATCAGTTTATTACTTGAGCTTGTAAATCTGAAACAGGAAAGTAGGTGAAGCAATTGAGAAGCCTATTGACTTAAGAACAATATACAAATCAGGTACCTGAATGTAATGAGAGCAGTCCTCTTGCTCAATACAAGTGTCATTTAGATAACTGTAATTCTTCCTTTCTTCGTGCCAACTCCTGATAGCATTGGTGGCTGTAAATTCCTTTTCAGGACCAACCCACATGTTTTCGCCAATCTCCGTAAATACCGGATGGGACTCATGGACTTTATCTAGATGGGTATTACGAGTAAACATACATTTTCTTCCCCATGCTCTAGCAGTACGCGATAAAGCTACGTCCCAAGTCTGAAAAGAAACACATGCAAAAGCAGAGAAAACAAAATAATTAAAAATGATGTTGTCTTAATGCTCTAATTTATTTTCTTGGTATTTACTCCCTTAGGGAGAACTAGACCAACTTATGTATTATTTATGTGGTGTTTTTTTCCCCCTGAGCAGTATTTATAGGAAAAAAATGTTTTCAGGTCATCAAAAATAAGATGACTGCTTCTTATGACAGAAGTTTATTAATATGCCTGTAATTGAAATAGTCAAGTGAAAGATTAAACTAATCATTTATTTCATATAACATTTTGCAGATTATATAATAAGCTTACATACAGTTTGATCAGAATATGCATTTTTAGTGTTCTATCTTTTGTGCCTAGTAAATTAAAATATCCATCTAATAGCTATTTATTGAGCATTCATTATATATACAATATTATTTTCAGATATAAAAGTAGAAGTCAGTATACATTTGGTCTTCACATTGCTGTACTCCCAGCACTGAGGAGGTAGAGACAGGAGTATTGTGAAAACCCACTGGATGCCACCCCAGTTGAGCAAACGGGACACTAGATCAGGGAGAAACCTGGTCCTAAAGGAGTGAATCGGAGTGGACACTTTCCTCTGGCCTCTGCATGGCCATGCACCTCTGGGCTCACACATAAGCGTCACACATTCACACAATACACAGGTGTGCACACACAGACACACATATACACATGTACACATACAGACACATGCACACACGCAAGCACCACAGACACACATACAAGCATCATGCACTCACACACATGCACATGCGTACACAGACATTTACAGACATGCACTCTAGTTTGTGTCCAGCCCTTTGACATCGAAATTTATTTATAAGACATCAATAAATATAGCCAATCACACTCTGACTTATGGCACACGGTGAAATTCTTCTCACATAAGCTTTCAGAAAACTTTCTATATTCATTAAGTGCTTATCTTAAAATCTTTCTCATCTGTAGTAACTAGCCTTTATACTTTAGAACAAAGTTATTACTTATTTTTTGTGCAAAGCATAGTGAGTCTATGGGCTGAGAGTTAGTTTCCCACACCACATATGGTACATGTTCTTTATACCTTCCATGTAGTCTATCTGTTTACGAGTATTCCTTACTTTACAGAGGGCTCAAGTTGACAATCTTGGGTGGATACCTAAAACTTAACCTGCCACAGTTTTAAGATAAAATGTTACAAAAATGATTTCGGAAATTATTTTTAGGAAGGCATATTAAACATTAAAAAAAATCCATACATCCTTCCAAGTTATTTTCCTAGTAGTCACTCACAATTATAGTATACGCATGTTGAGTAAGTATCAAAACAAAAATACTTTAAAAAGTTAAAAGGTATACACTTCACTTAATGCACATGAATGATATACAGCAGGAAATTACATTTATTGTATCTTCTCTTGCCTTTGTTCTCAGTTTGAATTTATTATCTTTATGGCTAAAATTATATAGTAAATGCAATAAACTCTTTGGACGAGTAAACCTAAGTAGAAGAGGAATCTATGCTGTGTTAAACTTAGTGCTGATATAGCAGAGTAGGGACCAAACTACAACATTATGACTATATATGTGAAAGACGTTACTTTTCAGAGGGAGATGAAATCCTTCCTTATCTGGGCTTTGCCTAAGAATGCATACATTTCTACAAATGAGAGGCTGGGAACTATAGTGGGCCTTATACAGCATGGCCTAATAGCTCTGAGTTTTCCCTAAGCCCACTAGCCCACTAACCCACTTCCATTGTTGGGGATCTATTTCTAATCATGTGTGGCCGGTGCATTTTTTTTCCCCATAGCTCTACACTCCTGACACCCTGGGCTTCCTCATTGTTTCTTGCACCCCCATGAATAAGTTAACAGGCATGATACTTTTTCTCTCTCTTCCCTCCTGGCAGCTGAGAGATTTTCAGCTTGCCTGTAACTGTTATTTTTCCATTCAAACACTAATAAAACCATCTTTAAGCTTTCTGGTTTTAAATTCTTTAATTAATTTGACAAAATGCCCAAACTAATGACTTGGAGGTCATGATACTTTCTATTAAAGCCATATTAAATTAGTTTAATTTGCCGAAGAACCACAGAAGCCAACTAAATCTCAAAAAATAAATCTAGATCAATTTCTGCTTTTTAAAGAGTTTTAGGAATATTTAATCTATGTATGTGCTTATTTAGCTTATAATAGCTTATAATATTATAATAGCTTATAATATTATATATTATACATATATATATACATATACATATATATGTATATGTATATATATGAAAAACATGTATAGAGAAAAAATTAGGAAGCTTATAAAAGAATAAGTTTGGAGATAATGCTCCTAACCAGAAGCCATAGGTTATTAAACAAAGAGTCCTGTATCAGATATGGGACACCAGATTGAGTTGTTGATCCAGGGGTCCCAGAGACCTCCCTCCCCAAAAAAATATCAGGCTATTGCTAGTTCACTTCATTACTCACCCAACCTTGATTCTATTGCTGAATACATCACACACTTTCATTCATCACACATAAATGAAGCTAGTACTGACCTAGAAGCTTCTTCCTTGATGGCTAGCTTTTATAGTGTCTCAAAGTGCATTGTAGGCTGCTGGTTAAGAGAAGTTATCAATGCCTTTAGCCAGCTGTGAACCTTGTAAACTACAATACTGACCAGCTGGTCAAGATAGGCCCACTGGTGTAATAAAGGCATGAATGTTATGGGGCTAACCAACTCATGTCTGGCACTGTAAACTTGGCTATTCTACATTGCTTTATATTGCTGTGATAAAGAACATGTCCCAAACCAAACTAAGCAAAGAAAGGGCTTATTTCATCTTACATCTTAAAGGCCACCATGAAGGGAAGTCAGGGGAGGAAGTCAAGGCAGTAAACAGCAGGAAGAACTGAGATAGAGGCAGTGGAAGACTGCTGCTTGCTGGCTTGTTGCCTATGGCCTGCTCAGTTTGCTTTCTTATATGACTTGGGACCACCTGCATAAAAGGTGGCATATCCCATATCAGTCACCAATCAAGAAAATGCTCCAGACATTTGCCTATAGGTCAATCTCATAGAGGCATTTTTTCAGTTGAGGTTCATCTTCCTCAATGATTCTAACTTTTGAGAAGTTGATAGAAACACACTGCCCAAGAACCAGTGGGAAGCCATGTCAGAAGCCCTATTACTATTAGTTTGCTAGAAGGACACAATATCAAGTTGATTATCTGTATACTCAGAAACTTCTATAAGGCATGATCGGCAGTCAACACAAAGACTCATAGCTAGCCAAAGCACATCATACAAAGCACTATGGTTAAGTACTAAATACAACATCAGTATCATACCTACTAACCCCAAGGCTCATCACTAAAGAGTGGACATAAAGATTCAATGAGCCAGAGAGAAGGAAAGATTGCTGTGAATAATGTCTTCTGGACATGACAGGATCTTTGTAGTCATGAACTTATAGCAGCTGGGGTTGCTAGCACAAGACTTGTACAAGATCAGTCCAGGCAACACGGCAGCATAGAGAAAGGAGAGGTTTATGAGGCAAATATGAGTAAACAATGACTACCAATGGGCCTCAAACTTCAGTACATTTCAGAATCATCTGTATGACTTTTTGTTAAAATATAGACTAGACTACAGAACTCCAAACTTGGATTTGGGATTTAGGAGGATCAGGAAGGGCCTGAAAACTTTTATTTCTAACAAGTTCACTGGCAGTTCTAATGCTGTGAATTCATGGACTATATTTTAGGAATCTGTTAGGTTAAAGAATAGAAGAATTGTCAAAATCACTAGAGGAAACCAGTGTTGGGGCAGACGGGGAAAAGTCAGAAGGATCTCTGGTGCTCGCTGGCTGCCAGAATAGCATTATAAACTGAACTCAGTAAGAGATGCTAGCTCAAAAGAATAAGGCTGAGAGCATCAGAGGAAGATACTGGATGACCTGTTCTGGTCTTTCTCTAATACACATGAACAAAATATACACACCTGCACACATGTACACACATGCATATAACATGAAGATTATCTTGGATACAGAAATCTAGGACTTATTATTCATACCTTGACTGAGCAAACTATTAAATGAAGTATTTTAAGTGCAGGAGAACTTAGAAATGATTTGAGTAAAACAGGAGGCCTCAAAATTCGCATGCATAATTACATATGTTTCTATACATTCACAATGAACAAACTAAACAGAAAATTTAGGCAAATAATTTGACCACGATAACATTAAAAGATAATAATCTTATCCAAACTGGTTTTAAAACCACAGAATGTTGTTGAAGAAAATCAAAGAAGATGTTAATTAAAAGGCTAATGTCGATGGTCAGGGACTGGGAAACTTAATATTAAGATGCCTTACTACACAAAATATTCTGTAAAGTAGTGTGACCCTACAAAAAGCATCTCAGATGCTCAAGGGACATCGAATAGAATTATAATAACAATAAAGTCCTGAAAGAAAACAAACTCAGAGGCTTGGAAGACTGAAAGAGCTTAGAAATAAATTCCTACACACACAGGAAAGTGGTTTCTACACACACTGCCAAGACCATTTAACTGACAAAAAACAATACTTTAAAACATGCCTTGAGAAAACTGCATACCCACACACAAAAGAATGAAATTAGACTGTTATCTCATGCCATATCAAAAAATTAACCACAAATCAAAGACCTAATTGTAAGACCTAAAGTTATAATTTTTTTTTCCAGAAAACGTAGAAGACAAACTTCAGAAGTTGGATTTTGCTAATTTATGGATTTTCTAATACAGTACCAAAAGCATATGCATGAAAGAAAAGGAGGAAAGGTCATTAAAGTTGTAAGACCTTTTAGAAATGTTTACTTTTCACATGTATAAGTGTTTTGCATGCATGCACATATATGGACCACCAGCATGCCTGATGCTCAAAGAAGCCATAAGAGGGGGTTACAGACCCTTGGAACTTGAGTCACAGAAGTTTGTGAGGGCTGGGAACCAAACCCCGGCCTCTGCAAGAGCAGTAAGCCATCTCTTGAGCCCCAAGTTTAAGACTTTTACTATCAACAGGTAGACAACCTACACAATGAGAGAAGGCATCTGTAGATTCTCTGCTCTCTCATACCTGCCTCTCCACTCTCCTACTGTCTTACAGTTCTAATCTACCCTTTTATCTCCTTTCTTACTCTCTCTTGTTTTCCTCTTTCCTGGTGAGGGGTAGAAAGGAAAGCACTGGAAAGGGGGAAAGGAAGAGAAAAAGAAAGAAAAGAAAAGACTGAGACAAAACTCACACCATCTTTAATTTAGAAAGAAAACAAGTAAATGCAGGGTAGAGCCCTTAAGCTAAACCTAAAATGGATCCTTTTCAAATTTTAATTGATACGATGTGAGCTCACAGGTCTGATGTTTTCTATTCTTTTTATTGAAATATAAGTTTCAGAGATCAGAAACAAAAGCTCACAACAGTTGTGTCAGAAACCACTGTGTTTACTCATTTTTAAGAGGAAGGATAATTCAGATTTGGTGGAACAATAACAAGGAGAAGGAAATACAAAATTCTAGCTGGAAAAACATATCCTTGGTAAATAGGACTATGTGAGAGTTATGGTCTGAAGCACCTTCCCCCCCAAATCAGCTGTGCCTAATTTGTTCTATGCCTGCCAGCTATTTCTTATTGTTGTTGAAGCATGCCTGCCAGTCATTGACACAGAGAAGTAGCTTGGCTTAGAGCAAGGACATGCTGACTACATACCTTGTTTTGTTCTGTCTGTTCTGAATGTCCTGTATGAGGTTTGCTAATCTTAAGAAACTCCACAAAGCTTATGTAGGACCCATCGAATCAAAGATCAGTATTAACTGTTACGTCTAAAATATCTTGAGTCAGGGCTGACCACTTGACAGCACTTCCTGCACCTGTGTATGAGCTCATTGTGGTTTACCTTCCTTTATAAGCAGATGGAAAAAGATATCCATTGTCATAGGTCATATAACTCTCAGCTATATCCCTGCTCTGACCAGTATTAGGGTGTGCATTCAATAGTTTTTGCATGAGATCACTGTTCGTATGGTTTGTGTGGTGATTCCTGAGCCCCCAACAGTGAGGAGATACTGACCACATAAGACAGAGAGAGTGAACAAGAAACAGATGGCCAATTGAAACAGCATTTCAAAAAGTAGCAGCAGGTCTTAAGAGATGGCTCTGCTACTGAAGGCACCTGTCCACTTGAGATATATCCCCAGAGTCCACAGGGCAGGGCAGGACAGAACCGATTCTAAGAGTTGTCCTCTAATATTCACATGCTTGTCATGACTTGCACTTGTGCATGTGAGTGTGCATGTGTGCGTACATACACAGTAATAAAATAAAAATGTAAATGTAATAATTAATTTACTAAATGATTGAAAATATCCAAGCCAGTGAAGAGATTAAAAACACAACACTAACATGTGGCTGTTGTTTGCTGAATTTGCCACTGTCTTTGACAACAGTAACTGCTGTATGTATTTCACTTTTCTTTTTTTAAACATCATACCTTTAAAGTGTTACTTCAGAACGTTTTATGAAGGAACTAATCCTCAAGACAGAAAGGGCGTATCTCTAGGGATGGAAATCTTATGTAATTTATAATGTGAATTAGAGTTACTTAACAGACTAAGAAGGAAAGGGCGACTTACTTGCTAGATTTTTGCAATCAGTTTTTAATGGAAATCATGAAATCTCCAATTAATAATCTTGTGGTCAGTTCAGGAATTACACCTCCTCCCAAGGCCAGATATATCTCAGGCTTCATTCCTCTGACCAGGAATTAAGAGTCCCATTGCCCTTGGCTTTAGAAACCATAGATTATATGAAACCTCCCAGACTTAATACCTTCTGATCCTGGTAATACCCAACTAGCTACCTAACTAGCCTTTGGGAACAAAATTCAATGCAGGCATAAAAATAAACAAAACTCTGGAAAACTGGAAGGAAAGAAAAGGAAAAAAACAAACAAACCTTAGTCAATTTTTTTTTTGTGGTAGAATTAGTGTGAAAACATTTACAATGGAAAAACAATCAAATAAAACAGGATCTAATATTATATTTGAATTATCCCAAGAGTCTCTTTCTACTAATTCACATCCAAGGATCACTGATAAGATTATAAGATTATATTGATTCTTAATGTTTGAAAAACAGTTACACTCAAACACAATTTCTGAGGCAGGAGTGGATGGGTGGGTGTGGGAGCACCTTCATAGAAGCAGAGGGAGGACTGAGGGGATAGGGGGTTTGTGGAGGGGAAACTGGAAGGGGGATAACAATTGAAATGTAAATAAATAAAATTACCAATAAAAAATGGAAGGAAAAAAAAGATCACACAATTTCTAAACTGGTGTGCCTTAAAACTTGCACCCCAACTTCTTCCATAATTGGTCCTTTACAGAACAATGAAACTGCTCATGTATCAGAGAGGCAATGGTTATATTTAAAAATATGTATTTTCCAACTCAAATGAGAGTCTCTCTGAGTTTCCTGTGCTTTGGAGAAGTGGCCTGGGAAACAGCTCTCCGGCCTCACCATGAAGCGTAGGTTAACCCCTGAGGGGAAGACGGTGCCTCGGAGCTGATTATGGAGATCCACGTATTCATTGATAAAGTCTACATCCTCTTCAAGCGGAAGTTCGGCGTTCAAACCTGAGCCCATCAGCAGAAGCCACAGCTCACACAGCCACAGCTTCAGTATACCCCTGAGCCTTATGGAATTCGACTGGGGATGCCACACCACAGACACAGGCAGAGCCGCCTCCATGCTCGCCCTAGGACAAGACAGTGAGCATGCGCCAGCCTACCCTGTGACTTGCCAATCTACGGGTCGGCAGAGGGCTCTTCTTTGGGAAGAGAAGGAGGCGTGAGAAGCAGGGAAGAAAAATGCATGATAAATGTCTACTGAATGGATCAAAGACAGACAAAAATGAGTCCATGTTTTTCACAAGACTAATTGAGTACTATCTAGAATTGATTTCTGACACTGAAGGGTGTGGATCGTTCACTGATCAAGCATTAGTCTGGACCTCAAGTATTGAATAATTAACAAATCTGAGATACCTTGGGAGGGGAAACCATAATACTTCCCGTCTTATTAACATTCAGCTCACTTTTATTTATTTATTTATTTTTCTTATCTATTGAATTGTGAGTGTTTTTATTGTGGTTGCTCTTAGGGACAGAGCATTTTCTTTAAGATTTATCCCAAAATACCTGAAAAGAAGTATTGCGAAAATTATCTTTGATTTATGTCACGAAAAGCGGTGAGCCTACACAAGATGATTCCAGTTGTACCTTTATTCTTTTAATGGTTATTGCGAGGCAGCATACTAAATGGTTGAGAGGAAACAGTAGACAAGACAAAGCCTTTCCTTTCAAACGGGAATAAACCAATTTTATATTTGGGAGATATTTTGACACTTGTATGGGCCCCATTTATCAGACATATTCTCTAATGTAATATGGGCTGGTGATGATTGTTCTATTCAAAGTATTACCATTTCATTTCCAGACTCCATTTAATCATAGTGGAAAACTAAATTCAAGGTCCCAGGTCCTAGGGGAGCTGGAGACTTTCTTATAGCTGAACAGCTTCTGTTGTAAAGTTATCTGACTTCAGATATCTCAGGGCTAACTTCTCCATCTTGCTGCGAGGGTCAAACAAGTCCATGTTCCCGGGCCTTTGTCCCTTTCTCACTCTGAGCTCGGGACCTAAAGTCTAGGAGGACTAATTAAGGACCTTGAAGCCAAGTGCCCTGAATATCAGTCAACAACGGGTACTCCCTTGTTTCACCCATAATGTCAAAATACAATTGGATAACACTACAGATTCCCCCCTCCCCGCCCACTTTGTGCTCCCATCCTTGGAAAATGTTGTACAATCTCCCTTACGGGGATGTGCTTCAGATCCCGAACTGGCCACCTCCCTGAGTGCTCAGAAAATAAAGCTTTCATTTTTAAGCTTCTATCTCTAAAATAAGTTTTTCCGGCGTCTATCCTGAGCCCAACAATGGTCACATCCTCTGACCAATTATGTAGGAAAGTCCCCGTGTCCTGGTAACTTATTCCATCAGTCGAGATCCCAATTACGTTGATAAATAGTTCTATAATACTTCCCATAAAGTCCATGATGTTATAAAAGCTGAGAAAAGTAGAAATGAGTCCTGTCCACGGCTACAAATAATCTATTAAACAGTGAATTACAATGCCGTTGTGAACATTATTTCAAATTTATCTCACCTAATTTTTCACCAAATTTTTTTCTATCACTCTTTTAAGTAGTTGGAAAAATTTGATTTCACTTTGATAAGAGCATTATAAAACACTTATCATTTTTATCTCCTCAAACAGAAAATCATTTCTGGGGGAGATCAAGTAATTTGTCTAAAGCACTTTTGCCATTAAATCCTGAAGGTAACTTTTCATTTTATTTAGTGTTTGTTTGTTTTTGTTTGTTTGTTTTTTAAACAAAAGATGGGCTCTTCAGGAGGAAATCTGTAGATTGAGTACAGATGTGCCTCATGTGTTCTCTCTCCTCGGAAAACAGGAAGCTTTCTCCACTGTCGGCATCCTTTGATGGAGCTAAGCATGGTGCTATTTTCCTCTAAGGCCGGGACTCAGGAGTCTGAGGCAGGAAATTTATGAGTTGTAAACCAGCCTGGGCTACACAACAAGTTCAGACTATCTCAGGCTACGTAGTAAGACTATTTCAAAGAAACAAAATGAAAAAGCCCTCCCTAGCCACATGTCCATTAATAATCCCGCGTACTACAGAAAAACAAAACTAAGAGCCGAAACAAAAACAACCCTCTAGTTTTTGTTATAATCGATGAGCGTACCGTGGCACGTTACTGTCCAGATTTCACAGCTCACACTAAGGCTCATTTTGGGTGAAGTACATTCTGTCAATTTGGACATATGTATAATGATTCATCATTACATATTACACACCATTGAAACGAATAATTTTCGTGTTTCACAGGGGACTTTCAGAAACTCCTCTGTGCCATCTATATGTCCTTCTCTCCAACACCTTGGCACACTCTCTTCTCTCTTTAGTTTGCCTTTTCAAAGATGTTGTACAGTGCGTTTGTGTACTGTACAACATGCAACATGTAACCTGTCCACATTGACCACTGTCACATCTAAATTTCTTCCATGTCTTATTGTTTGATAGATCATTACTTTTGAACACAGTAAAAGCCCATTTTCTCTACGTAAAAAAAAAAAAAATCATTGCTTTATCCATTGAAGGGATGGCAATATTGGTTGCTTTCAAGTTTGGGCAGTTACAAAGAGGGTTACTGTAAACACATGTTTGAAGGTTTTTGTACAGAAATTATTTTCAACTCTTGCAGGTAGTACAAAAGAACATACTTATTGATCATATGGGAGGTATATGGTCAGGTTTGTTATGGTATGATGATGATATGATGGTGATGATTGTGTTACTGTTTTCCTGTCTGTGTTTTAGTACCTGTGCCATGGCACAGGCACACATGTAAGGTCAGAGGACAAATTATATATATACATATAATATATGTATATAATGTGTATATATACATATATATAATATATATGCATACATATGCTTTATCAACAAGCAACCTTAGAAACAAAAACGTGAGCTTGACTTTATTCCACTGCTTCCTAACTTATATACTAAATATTATTTATTAAATATACTTATATATTTTACATATAATATACTAAATATATTATATACAGTATATATGTTACATATATATCATATATAGCACATACATTATCCAGTGTCATGAGGGACCTCTTAAATCCAGTGTAAATTCAAAACACCAGGTCAATGCAGATGACAAAAATGTACTGTAACCAAGCTGCTATGGATCGATTAGGGCCACAGAGCAGACTCGGGAGCTGAAGAGAAATTGTACAGCATAAATGGAGGATGAGATCATAAAGAGAGGAGAGGGGGAGCAGGGTGAGGCTGAAGCATTGTTTAATCATACCTTGGCATAAGGGGTTGAGTAAGGGAGTTTTCACCAATCAGGTTGGGAGTGAGTTCCTGAGCCTGGGAACATGAGCTTAATTTGACTTTGCCAGGAAGATGGAGAAGTTGTCCTTAAAATTTCCGGACACAGGCAACTGTCCGCTTACAATCTGCTTCTGAGTTGTCTGGACTCACACTGTTTGCTTCTAATAGAAGCTGTTCAGGTATTGGAAAATCTCCAGCTCCCCTAGGGCCTGGGACCTTGACTTTATCTTTTCTCTATGATTAAACAGAGTCTGAAGATGAGATGGTGGTATTTAGAATACGTTTTAAAACTGTTTGTTCCCAATGATATATCCTTTTTTGAACTGAAAAATAGACACCGAATTTAGATTTCAGACAAGAATGTAGAAAATTGTAATAGAGAGATAAACAGACACCGAGTTCCATCTACTCAGGAAAACAGTCTTTTATTTTAGCATTTAAAATTTTTCTTCTGAATAGAAATAATAGTTAAAGTAGTCTCTGAAGAGTAAAACCAAGGACAAGTAGATGGCATGCTGCTTTCTGCTGAGGTGCTTCCCCAGTCTGGGTATCTGTCAATAAAACACAATGATAGATGCTCAAAGATCTGTCAATAAAACAATGATCAAAAGCTCAATGATCTACCAATAAAAGGAAATGATCAGAAGCTCAGTGATCTATCAATAAATCACAACGGTCAAAAGCTCAATTTAATTTAAGAAAATAACTAAAATACTTTTTATATGTACTGTCATGTAAAAATTATGGGATTTTAATGAAAGAAAGAAAAGCTACATAAAATGAAAAATATTGATTTTTTTGGCTTTTTAAAATAAGCTAATCAATTTAGAAAAGACTCTTGAACTTAAGAAAACTAATCTTTCAAACCTTACTGGATTTAAAAGCTTTATAATGCTGCCTATCACAAGGGTCATGCCAACACATATTGTCAGAATGCCTCTTGTGTTTGAGGCATAAATATCTAAAATAAGTAGAACTACAAAAAAAAAACCAAAAAACCACCTGCAGCAACAACAAAAATTTTATTTTTGACACTCTGCCATGCCTAGCTTGAGTCTGTGAAGAAAATTCAATTCTTCTATGTGGACTTTTAACCGTGATCTTCATTGCTGTAGTGGTACTTACCCCAAATTCATCGTTCCCACATCTAAACTTTCTCCTCAGTTTTGAGGTTAGAAGCCTATGCAAATAAACATCCCAATCAACAGCTAATGTGAGCACAACAGCAAACTAGATCACAGTTGTGTTTAATTTTTGTGTCCTTACTTGAAGGGGAAACTATCGGGGAAGGAAAGGAATTATCTGAACTAAACCTATGTAGTATAATTCATGGTAAATGCTTTATGTTCTAATAGAAGCAGCGAAGTCATCTAGAAATTAAGAACATGCAGGACCACATTTAAAACTATAACAGAATTATGGAACCATTGATGTCTAATATTATTTTTTTCTTTTTTACTTACAGCAGAGATTATTCATGCATTCTTTTCCCCCACAATGGGAGCAGGGGTCGCCTCTCTTGTAAGGTCTGAAGCCTTTAATATTTCCTCTGCCAAAACAGGAGACTCTTATCAACTAATGCTGCTATGTTAAATTTATCGACGTCTACGCAAGCCTTTCTTTCTTTCACTAAGTCATCAATGTAATACAGAAAACAACAATGCCTGCTGTTGAATACAAGACTCATCTCCTATATACTAAGAAACCATTAAAACTTGTCTTTTTAAACATTTTAAATTATATCATTTAATTCTTTTATTTTAATTTTTTCATTTAAAATTTATTTATTTATTTTACTTAATTCTTAACATTTTAAAAAATTAGAATATAGGGTGACTGTACAAAGTTGTAACCCCAACACTGAGGAGGCAGAGGCAGGTGGATCTCTGTGAGTTAAAGGATGGTTCGGTTTATGTAAAGAGTTTTGGGCCAGCTGCAGATACATGATGAGACCTTGTTTCAAAATAAATAAATAAACAAATAAAGAAACCAAATAATGATAATGGGAAAATAAAGAATATACATTATTTCCTCCTTTCCTTCCTCCAACATGTCCCACCTGACCTACTCTCTCTCTCTCTCAGATTCATAGCTTTTGTTTTAAATTGTTACTTTACACACACACACACACACTCACATGTGCACACACACACATACGCACACATGCGCGCGCACACACACGTGGCCTAAGGGAGGAGAACTTGCTCTGTCTGTTTGGCATTTCCATCTCTCAATAGACAGCAAACAGAATTCTAAGGGATAATAATAAAATTAAATATAGTAAAACAAAACAAAACACACCAGAATAGGACAAAACAAACAAAAGAGCCCAACCAAAAAAAAAAAAAATTGCATGAAACAGACCCACTTGTCCTGGGTAAGGGATGGGTATGTGTGTCCATTTCTTTCATTTCTAGGACCCTAAGTGTTGCCGACCCGCGCCCGAATTGACCATGCTTCCTCAGTCTCTGTAAGTTCTCATGAGCGTTGACTTTGTTCATCTTGGTTTAGAAGGCCTCGAAACCGTGGCGTCCTTCAGCTCCTCTGGCTTGGAGACTCTTTCTGCCTTCTCTTTCTGGGGCTTCCTCGATCCCCGATGGGAGAGATTTGATGGAGACATCCTGTTTAGGGCTGAGAACAAACTTATTTCTAACCACCAAGGGTGAATATTTTTCTCTGAATCTATTGAAATGGTTATGCGATTCTCATTTCATGGTGACCAATGGAGTGAATTAATTCAGTATTTCAGAATGTTGAAATCAGCCTTTCATACTGGGAAACTTCTTCCCAGATAATTATGCTTTTATATTGTATTCAATTGATAAATTTTATTTAGAATTGTTTATGTCTGTCCTTGTAAGGTATGGTGTTCTACAACTTTCCTTTTGCTTTTCCTGTGTAATTTGTATCTTTTAAGGAACTTTGCTGTTTAACCCAAGCCACTACACTTGTGGACGCGATTGTATTATTTTCATTATGTTCTATGTAAAACATATAGTGCTAATTTCCGAACATTGTTGATGTCTCTCTTTTTTCTTCCGCGGAGAGCAGTTTGAGAAATCTTTGGCCTCTTGCTGATTTTTCTTTCTTTTTTGTTATTTTATTTATTTAACTAATTCTGTTTACTTTGGGCTTAATGTGTTCCTCTTCCAAGTCTCTTAGATGGGTTACAGGAGGCAGAGCGATTCTTGAGCTCACAGATAAGCATTAAGGAAAGCAGGAAGTTAAACACAGAGTACTGCCTCTTTAAGGGGGGCATGTACAACCAGTCCACGCAGAAGTCTGGGAATTGAGATGGTTAACACTTGTGACCTCTGTGCTATCTGGAAAACCAGGCTAGGTTTCCCCAGACTCTTAGTTTATCTCAGACAATCTATAGCACTAGCCTCCCCTAGACCCTTATCAGGAGCTTTGCTTACCTCTATCCTGCCTTTCCAGGTAATCTATAGATTCTATCTTTATAGAAGATGCCACTGGTGCTTCGTAAGAGTTTTGATGGCATCATGTCTTAAGCTTTGCTGTATTCACAGGATTGAGTTAATTTACCATGAGGAAACCTATCTCCAAATTGCACTGTGCTTACAAATTGCTAAAATAAATGACCCAGCATCGAATTCTTGACATTTGAACCAGCACTGGCTACTGTGTTATGTTGAACTGGATTTCCTTCTTGCCTCCCTGGATCACCCCTCTGCTAGAGGTGGGGTTTGCAGAGACTCCTCCCAGTGGGTTGAGGTCCTTAACCGGAAGGCGTTCTCCTGTCCATTGTGGCCTTCATTGCTGTTATTTTTCCTCCCACTTTAATCAAATTTCAAACATTGGTTTATTTTGTTGTTGTTGTTGTTGTTGTTGTTGTTGTTGTTTTGATTCCCCACCCCTGCCCCCGTTCGGTTCAAACTTCTAGTTTCCACGTGATACCTTCTCTGATTCTCAACTCACCGGTAAGTGCGTAAGTGTTGAAGGCACCAATGACCGTACTACTATTGACTTGTGAGTGTGTGTGTGTATGTGTGTGTGTGTGTGTGTGTGTGTGTGTAAAGTAACAATTTAAAACAAAAGCTATGAATCTGAGAGAGAGTAGGTCAGGTGGGACATGTTGGAGGAAGGAAAGGAGGAAATAATGTATATTCTTTATTTTCCCATTATCATTATTTGGTTTGTTTGTTTACTTATTTTGAAACAACGTTTCATCATGTATCTGCAGCTGGCCCAAAATTCTTTACATAAACTGAACCATCCTTTAACTCACAGAGATCCACCTGCCTCTGCCTCCTCAGTGTTGGGATTACAAGTTTGTACAGTCACCCTATATTCTAATTTTTTAAAATGTTAAGAATTAAATAAAATAAATAAATTTTAAATGAAAAAAATTTTTAATTTTTTTCATTAATAGTATCAATAGTATTATTGACTTATTACACTGAGGCTAGACTATAACCTATATTATTTTAATGTGCCTAAATGTATTAAAACCTGTTTTATGAGCCAGACCACATCTTAGTTAAGTGAACGATCCAAGTCTATGCGTTCTGCTACCTTGATGAATAGTCTGCCCTGTCAGTCAGGTCGCTGGAAGATTGGATTCAAATCTGAAGCCGGACCCATCGTTGCCTCTCTTGCTCTTTTGTGTTTCCCCTTCATTTTCTTTTCTTTTCTTTTCTTTTCTTTTCTTTTCTTTTCTTTTCTTTTCCTTTCCCATCCTCTTCTTTTCCTTTCTTCCCTCTGCCTTTATCTCCCACATCTCTCTTGTTATGTTTTATAAAAAGACAAGGAGAGAAGGAATATGTTTGGTGGAGGTGTAGTCAGGTGTGGGGGAAGGGGGTGACTCCGCAGGCCCATGCTGAGGCATCCCTTCCCCCTGAGGGACCAGCCACAGGACAACATAGTATAGAACAGAGTTTATTCAGGGCACAGAAAAGCAGAGAGAGAGAGAGAGAGAGAGAGAGAGAGAGAGAGAGAGAGAGAGAGAGAGAGAGAGAGAGAGGAGGACGGCCATGAGCACATGGAGAGAGAGGAGAGGGGAATGGGAAGGGGGGGAAGGAAAATGGGGGGAGAGGGTAACGGGAAATGGGGAGAGAGGGAGAAGGGGTGAGAGGACAGAGCAGGAGCAAGAAGGCAAGAGATCAGGAGAGTGAGGAGTGGGGCAAACAGCCCCCTTTATAGTGAATCAGGCACACCTGGCTATTGCCAGGTAACTGTGGGGCAGAGCTTAGACAGAATGCTAACATCTCTTTAACCTTTCCTTTTTTCCCAAAGCCTGACTTTTAAGGAAGTTATGTTGCCCCCTAGTGATCATCAACAATTAATCTTCTTAAAAGAAACGTGATGTGGCCTAACAGCAGTTACACAATCTCTTTGCTATTCCGAGAGACTATTCTGCTTGAGCCTTTAGGGCAATGCTTGTCACTCTTGCTTTATTTAGCCACTCTATGAAAGGCTGAAGAAAGCACAGTAATAGATACACACATATCCATTTCCCCATACTGTATCTGGCCGTCTTATTGTCTGTTCTATGCATTTATTCTTTGTGTTTTTATTGACAAATATTTATCTTTAAATTTTTTATTTGTTGAGGACTAATTTTATTACCTGCCTTAATATTCCTTTTATATATTAATAGATATTAGGGTTAGAGATTGGGATTTTGGGGCTAAAATTTTATTCTTATTCTTTTAAAAAAAAAAAACAACAAATTTATTTATCTCATGTGTCTGAGTACACTGTTTCTATCTTCAGACACTCCAGAAGAGGGCACCAGATCCCATTAAAGGTGGTTGTGAGCCACCATTGTGATGGTTGGGAATTGAACTCAGGACCTTTGGAATAGCAGCTAGTACTCTTAGCAGCTGAGATATCTCTCCAGCCCCTAAAACTTTAATTTTAAACCTAATTGTGTTTATGTTTTCCTTTAAGTATGAACTCACCCATAGGGCATTTAAAAACGGCATTCTTTCCTCAAAAATCATTCTTTGAAAAAATTTTCATTTTCTTAATCTAAATGTTCATTAGAGCTGCATTTGCTAACCTTTCTATGTTTTACATTTAGGTAATCTTATGACAGTTTATTTTATATTACCTTTACCTCTGTGTTCATGTGTGCACATTCACGCACGTGTGTAAAAATCAATGTTAGGTGTCTTTCTCCCTCACTTTCGAGCATATTTTTTTGAGAGAGTCTCTCACTGATCCTGTGGCTCTGACAGGCTTGACCAGCTAAGCTCACAAGCAGCAGAGATTTTCCCGACTCTGCCTATTCAGTGCTAGCAGTGCTGGTCTTATAGGCACGCCCACTGTGCTTGGGCTCTTACATGGGTGCTGGGGATAGAACTCAGGCCCTAATGCTTTTAAGACAAACATTTTACTGACCAAGCCATCTTCCAGCCCCACTTTTCAAACTTAAGAAACAGTTTCCATCATTTCTATCCTCATGTTGAAATAGTTCAAGAGAAGAGAGGCTTCTCCGTTACGTCCCATTCTCTAGGTCCATCCCATTTTCCCTTTTAAAATTAATGTTGCAGAGGGAGAGGACATGAAAGATACTTTTGAGTCTAACATAAGATTCTGCTTTTGTAAACATCTGGGTGGTGGTGGTTGTTGTTTTGTTTTGAGGCAGGGTCCTTCTATATAGCATCTGCTGTCCTGGAGTGGATTAACTAGACATGACTGGCCCAGAACTCACAGAGTTCCAATATCTCTGCCTCCTGAATGCTGGAATTAAAGGTGTGCTCTACCACATCTAGCTTTGTAAACATTTGTTAACAGCAATTATTTCAACTTAGAACATATAAGGAAAAGGAAATTAACTTACGCTGGTGCATAATTACATGCAAATAACCCAGCTGTTTGTTTCATGAGATTAGGACAATTTGAAACTGCACAACCAATTTTAAATGTGTTGGCCCAAACTACCTATAAGAAAAGGAATTGAAAAAGCAACATATTAAACAATCCATATAAACAGTAAGTTATGAGAATATGTATAATCTTAATTATGCTACATATATACATGTATATATGTTTACTGCATTTTTTCTAACATTTAACACATGAAGTTATATTTTGTTAAGGCTGCTTTCATAATGACGGAATGGTTTTTCTTAAGAAATAATTATCATAAACTGAAAGGATAACCTAATAAGTGAATCATAATATCATACATTGTTAAAAAAAATCACAAGTTCTTCTAGATAAGCTAGAACACATTTTAATTCTCTCCATGGTCATATTACAAGAAACATCAAGCTCAGACTTGGATTAAAGACAATAATTTACTTTGTCCTTAGGAAAACATGTTGCTAAATTGATTGTGCTGGTGCTGCTTTAAGTTTGCAGATTTTAAAATATTCATACCTTTGTCAAGTCATAAGATAGGTATGTGGCATTTATTTAAATGGTCAATGGTAAGCATGACTTTTAATATTTTTTGAGGTCCAAGGAAATCTAATTTCAAAAGAAGAAGTGTTGTATGAAAAATTAACCACAAGAAAGAGCTAAAGATGTGTTGAATGAATATCTCAAGTCCCTTGCATCAGTGGTAGAATGTAATTTCCCCCCCTATTCTCCAAATGCAAAGAGAAGGAGACTTACTTATCCCTCTTGGAAATGAAATAACCTAAGAAACAAATTTGACCAGACAGAGTCAACATTTTCAACTTTTTAAATTCTTTAAACTTTACGATTCTGTCAACCAAACGAATTAAATTGTTTTACAAATTGAGATACTTATCACGTTTTCTCACTGCAGAAGCATGGCCATGACTCATCATTTGGCTGAGCATATTTGAATGGCTCTTTGGCTGCCTCAAAGAGCAGGAACAGGCCCTCTGAGCTGCGGACTAAGAGATGAATGTTGCTTCTCACCACATATCCAGCTCAGAGTAGCAGATGAGCTTCTGAGCTAGTCTCTCATTTAATAAAAATAAAATGAGGTTAATTATTAAAGGACCCTTTGCTTTTTAATGTTATAAAGTTACTAAATAGGACAGCTGCAAGTTTATATGTCTATAAAAAATATTTCAGACCCAGTTTACTAATATCTGTATGGCCAGAGAACTCAAGCGCTCTTCCTATGTCTCCCATGCTTCCTTCATTGCCTGCTCTTGCTGGGGTTATGTATGGGGTTAGTCATGCATGGCCATGCCTAGAGTTTATGGGTTATGGGGATTCAAATTAAAGTCCTCATGCTTGGATATCAAAGTGCTCTTAAGTATTAATCCACATCCCTGGCTTTGATTAGTTTATTTAAATTGTGATATTTTAGGATTGTGAATGATGAAGCTTATAATGTCAGTGTACAGCTTTCAAAGTGTAGTCCTCTCATGAAATGGACTAGATCTAAAATTGATACTTACATCAAATGCAACTTCAACAAGAAATAAGCAAATGGCCAATGCAAGACACTTTTGACCCATTTTGTTTTAAGCAAACAAACATTTATAAATAAACAACATTATATAGTTGTACTTGTAAGAAGGATGAATTTATTCCCAGTTATGTAATACCTTTTATCAGAGAGTGATTTGGTGAAGATGTAAACGTTCAGGTTCCATGTTGTTATTCCATTTCAGTGTATGTGCCAGTCATGAATAGTCATCCATGTCTGACATAACAGTTTTAAGATGAGAGAGAGATTTGAGAATGTGCTCTCATTTCATTACAACAGGAGAAAACACAAAGACTGAGCTTTAGACAGTTGGGTATAGGCCTTTCTTCTTGTTATCAGGACACCTGACATTGGATCCCAGTCTTCCCAGCTAGAGACAAACTATATTCTTTACCAACAGCATTGACTCTGATGCTCTGAAAGCTATCAAGACACAAAAACAAAACAACAAAACAAAACAAAACAAAACAAAACAAAACCTTCCTGCTGTACTGAAAACCTGGAAACAAATGCTCGCTATTCAAGATACTCACGGGCTTATATTATAAACAGAACAATTACCGAGCACCAGATAAATACCAGTCATTGTGCTCCATTGTGCTGATACAGAGAGAAATTGGGAAAGACATAATTAAATAAATGACATAAAATAACAAAATAATTTTAAGACACTAAAAATGTGAATTTAATTTACACAGATGAGTGAGTTTGGTCAAGAAAAGTAGCTCTTCCTGTTGCTTTAGCAGCCTCTGCAACATGTCTAAGAGTAAGGCTTAGTCAAAATGGATTTCTACTTCTCATAAAATGTAGAAACTAGGACAGATGTATATATCTATATGGTTATATATCTATACGCAGTGACAAAAATAAGGAGAAGTGTAAGAAATAGTGTTTTCAAGATCCTGGGCATCTGAGAGACTCTAAGGACTCAGTGGGGGTGACCTTAGCCAAAATAGCCAACATAAGTGGGCTCCAACTCAAGGAGCCCACCTCCAGTAGATAGACAGAGCCTTAAGCAGAGGGACAGGATTCCTAACATGCAGTCAAAATTTCTGATCCAGAGCTGTTCTTGTCTAAAATAACTGAGGGGACAAAAATGGAGAAGAGACTCAAGGAAAGTTGGCCCAATGAGTGGCCCAACTTGGGTTCCATCTCATGGAAGGGCACCAAGGCCTAACACTATTACTGATGCTATGATGTGCATAGAGATGGGAACCTGGCATGGCTGTCTTCTGAGAGGCCCTTCCATCAGCTGACTGAGACAGATGGAGATGCTGACACCCAACCACTAAACTGAAGTTGGGTACCCCTATGGTTGAAGTAGGGGGAGGATTGAAGAAGCTGAAGGAAGGGCAAACCAATAGGAAGACCAGCAGTCTCAACTTACCCAGACCCCAGGGAGCTCTCAGAGACTGAGCCACCAACCAGGAGCACACATGAGCCAATCTGAGACCCCTGGTACAAATATAGCAGAGGTCTGCCTGATCAGGCCTTAGTGGGAGAAGATGTGCCTAATTCTCGAGTGACTTGAGGACCCAGGAAAGGGGAAAGCCTGATTTGGGGGGTGGGGTGTTGGAGATTGGTTCTAGATACCAAAGAGCCTGGAACTATATTTCCATGTCTTAAAAGACCATGACTATCAACCTAGACTTATGTACCCACAAAAACCTATCTGCCCTAGTTGAAAGAAAAAAAAACTTTCCATGATATAAAAAAACCTTAAAAAATGTTATAACCAACAGATAAAACCTAAAGAAAACATAGGAGGCAATATTTGAGCTGAAGAGAGGGTTGAGCATAGCTGAAAGCCTTTAGAGAGAAACAAATAAAGCTATATTACTGAAATACAGAGTACCTCTGAGAACACAAATAACATCACTAAAAGTTAACTCAATAACCACAATTAGCTCATACCTTTCAATAATAACATTACATATTAATGGCCTCAATTCTTCAGTCAAAACACAAAGACTGACTGAATGGATCAAGAAACCAAATCTATCAGTTGTTTACAAGTAACATATCCAAGCTTTAAACTTAGGCAACATGGTAGAGTAAAAGGATAGACAAAAGGAATCCAATTATGGAACCAGGAGACAAGCAGTTTTCACTATCCCAGTGTCCAACAAAATAGATTTCATAGGATAACTAATCAGAAGAGATAAAGGGAACACTTCATTCTAATTAAGGGATCAATTAGCCAAGAAAACAATACCATTTTAAATATTTGCTCACCAAGCTCTGGTATCCAATTTCATTAAAAAAAAATGTACCTCTGGAATTAAAGAAAAAATTAGCATCAAGTCATCAACAGTACATGATTTCAATAATCCACTTTCTTCAGTAGCTATGTCATCTGGACAAAACAATTAAACAAACATTAGATTTAAATGTCATCAATTTAAATGTTAAACTCAGAAAGACTGAAGTAACTTTTTGGTTGCTGTGAAGAGGCAGCATGACCAAAGCAACTTAGAAAACAAAGCATTGGATTGAGGGTCTGCCCATAATTTCAGAAGACGAGTCTCTGAATGTGATTAGCAGGTATCTACAGAAAGTCCCACCCAAACATTGAGGAATACACTTCCTACTCTACACATGACACATGGAAGCTTCTGTAAAACAGAAAACAAATCCTGGGATACAAATCGTCACAAATTCAGAAAGACTGAAATAACTATATATCCTATCTGATCACAATGCAATAAACCTTAGCGCTGACAGCAAGCAAATTTCTAGCGTGTACACCAGCTCACAGATATTGAATAATTCATTAATGAATGATGAATGGATCAAAGAAGAAATTAAAAAAAAGAAATAAAAAATTCCTGGAACTAAATGAAAAATTGAAACACAGCACCACAAAATGTGTGTATGGGGCGCACTTAAAAGGCGTCCTATGAAGGAAATGTACAGCTCTATGCTTCTCTCTTTAAAAACAAACAAAATTGGCCTTTCTGAATGTGTGAATAGGGGACTGGCAAAACATCAGACATTTAGATATCTCAGTTACTTTTTGGTTGCTGCGAAGAGGCAACATAACCAAAGCAACTTAGAAAACAAAGCACTGAATTGAGGGTCTGCTCATAGTTTCAGAGGATGAGTCTCTGATCATCACATGACAGAATAAGGCAGCAGGCTGGCGGGTACGGTGCTGTAACAACACCTTAGACCTACAGCCTTAGCCCCAATTAGCAGGTGAAGAGTGAGGTTGGCTTGGTGTGGGGCTTTTGAAACCCCAAAGCCCACCACTCTCAGTGACATATCTCCTTCAACAAAAATACATTTCCTAAACCTTCTCCCCAAAGTCACCTAGGTGTTACTATACAGCTTCCCCACTGGCTTGCTCCCAGGGACCTATCAGCTACTTATGTCATCAGCTGCCACTACCAGGTGCACAAAATGTGTGCTGCAAACAAAAGGGCCCCCACCCACCCTAAGAACTCTCTGAATTCTCTCTCCCCTGCCCTCCTGTTTCTCCCTGATCCCTCTCTCTGTCTTCCTGTCTGCATGATGACTTCTTTGGCCCAGTTCTCTGAGACTGGTGAACCCCTCCACACCCTAAGGGTTGTACCAACGATACCTGCATTTATTTACTTTTAACCTGGTCTGATCTGGCCTGTAATTGCCTCATACTGGAGAAGAAGAAACCTATTATTAGTGATCAAGCATTCATTTACATGAGCCTGTAACTTTGTGTTGCCCAACCCCCAACTGATAGATTTATAATACAGCTCCTCTATGTAAGACTCAGGGATCATAGTGGAAGAGAGAGTATAAGCCATACCAATTAAGTCCCATAAGCATAGATCCCTAAACAAGACCTGAAGAAAGAGGATACCAATAGATTTGCTAACAAGGAAGTAGAGGAATCTTACAGGACTTCAAGTCTAGACAAAGATCTATAGGCAACTAAGGTACGCTAGGACTGGGAGAAATTGTCTTCCCCAGGGAAGAAACTAAATTTGTTTTCTAATACCAAGTAGTCAACCCTGAAATCGTATACATATATGTAACATTATGCAGACTGAGCAGGTTGTATTCATGTTTTAAGAACACTTCTGTGTCTACACGTATGTCACAACAATGAAAGAAATGGAGGTCATAAATTTGAAGCCAGCAAGCAGGGGTATAAAAGAAGGGCTGGAGGGAAGAAAGGGATGGAGAAATATAATGCAAATACATTTTAATTACAAAAAGAAAAGAAAGTAAACTAAATCAAATTAGTGGGACATTAACATGTAGAAGAAACAATTATGGGTTAAAGACAGGGTAATAAAGTTATCAAATTGATCACAAAAAGAAAAATACCATAAACATAATAGAGACATCAAACTGGCATGATTCAAGTATCCTTCTGAAAGACCCCCGAGAGGGGAGACCTTCCCTCCAGTCTCGGGAGATCATGGCTACCCAATGACTCGCAAGACACCGTTCTTGATGCAATCAGCAAGAAGTATATTTCAGGAAATCAGCCCGCTGAGGTCGAGACTTGTAACTCATGCAGGGGCAGAGGATCTCGACCCCCAGTGCAAGGAGAGTGGGGTATTTAAAGGAAAAAAACACAAACCAAGGGGAATGAGGGGGGGGTGGTGGTGCTGGAAAGTACCAGTGGAAAGTCCCAGGCCATTATTCAGCGTGTGACAGGGTTCATGGGGAAGTACAGGCCCTTTCTCTCAAGAACCCAATCTTATTCAACCATATCATCCACCTTGTCGTCAGCCAAGTTCCTGGAACACAAAGCCCCAGAACTAGCTGACCCTCTCTCTTGGCTCTATTCTGACTGCTAGTCTGCTAGGGGTAAAAGTTCTATTAACCCTTCACTTCCAATGCTGGTAGCAGGCAACTAGAAAGAGAGAACTATTGTGAGAAACAGTCACCCATGTTTTCCAAATGTATTTTAATCTATAGATTTAGTGTGGTAAGCGCAAGATTCTATAGCACAAGGAGTGTGTGAAGACCAAGGCACCTTACCTTATGGAGAGTTGATCAACATGTAATAGCAACCATGGGTGGGGAAAAGCCAGAAGGAGGAAGAAGAAATCACAGCAGATTTCTTGAAAGTAATGTAAAGAAAGTGTCAGCAGAGTCACATTGTCAAAGATTGGAAAAACTATACTCAGTACGTGGAATCCCCAGTAAAATGGAGGTCTTTTTTTTTTTTAATGGATGTAAAATAAAATACTAAAAAGATTGTCTTGTAACTAAAGTGAACAAGAGAACTAATTAATAGCCTGCCAAGTACATACCTGTGTATAGTGGCCACATGTTTTATTACAGGTATTTTTCTCATAATTATAATCTATAGTTTCATTATACCAAGCAGTAACAACATCTTCGGGTCGGGTGTCTAATGGACCCATATATATATTTTCTCCAATAAAATCATATTCCTGAAGACATCCATATCGTTTTGAGACACAGGGATTATGGGAAAATTTGCACTCTCTAGTCCATGATTTGGCAAGTTTTGCCAGCGATTTGTCCCAAGTCTGGAAAAAAATCAATTGAATAGTACATATTTGCTTACAAATTTTAGTTAATTTTAGCTCTTTCATAAAAGCAATTTTTTTTGGTATTTGTTGTCTTAGTTGCTTTCTTATTACAACAAAACAACTGAACGAAACAGCTTAAAGAAGAAGTTACTTTAAACACCATTTCAGAGGGTTCAGGACATGGATACTTGGCACCATGTTTCTGCACCTATCATGAGGCAAATATCAGGAGCTTCTTCGTCGTGAACACGAAGCAATAAAAAACTTGGAACAGGAAGTGGCCAGGGCAAGGCCCAGGGGCCCTGGCCATCCCTGCCTCCCCAACTCTTGCCTTCTCAACCCTGCCTCCCCAATCCTCACCACAAGCCTACCTCATCAACCCCGCCTTCCTAAAGACTAATGATGTACCTCCAGAAATGTAAGAAAACAGAACAGTTGTAGCATTGCAATGTCAAAGGCCTCAACTCAACTTCTTCTTGCCATCTTTTTGTCTCAGGGATGCCAATCAGTGGTATCAACCTTTGGAACTGCTTCCTACCTCAAAGTAATGTCACATTCAGGCCTTCAACTTATTGTGACAATTGTTCTCTAAAGTCTCTCCCAAGCCTTTTAGGCCCTAAGTAGTAAAATTTTCGACAGATCACTAACGCCTATCAGTAGGACAGCCGTTTAGAGCACAGGAGCAAATTCAGGACTATAACAGACTTTCATTGCTTCTCAGTGATATGAGATGTACAAACACAATTGTTAAAAAATTAGAACAATGTTCCCTCTCTCTAGCAGTCATGCCACGAGAGCTTTGGGCCTCACCAATAATCTGTGATGCTTTGTACAAACATTTAGAGCATGATTTGTAAATAACCCAGTATGTCTTACCCCAACTAGTCATTCTCAAGAATGACAGATTGACCTGAAATGGTACTGTTTTCCAAAACAGGGAAATCTCTGCACCTTACCTATCCAGATAAACTATGATTCCCATATGCCATACACAATGGCCCGTGAGGTTAAAGCAGTTAACTTTCTCTTTAGTGTTATAAAAGGATTCAAGGGCGATTCTTTCTTTTCCTCCGAAAAAATGCACTTACTAACATTATTAAAATGAATTCTGGTCTGGTAGAGCATGTTTCATCTCCCTCCTCTGCTTAAACTCATTGTTCTGAACAGCACCTCCGTTCTTTCTCACCAGGTGATTCATATCGGATGCTGGGGGTTGGACCTTGCGTCGCAGTTCGTTGTGGATATCAAGGAATGGAGTTATAAATTTCGGATCCGTGATAGTTGGCACCCGAGGAATCATTCCGAATACTTTGGGCAGTCTGCTGGCTACCAAATATAGAGCTACTGTCCATAAAATATTAAGTTTCTTCTTCAGGGCCATGGAGAGGATACCCCTAGTGAATATGCCAGAACAGAAATTACACTCTACCCTGGCTTTGTCTTCTGATTAGACTGGCATTCTGTGTACAAGGCAGTCAGTGTTGCTATGGAGACAGAAGCTTGGCGAGTTCTGGACATCTAAGCCTTAAATTCTCAGGAAAGCCTGAGGCGCCCTCTGGTGCACATTTCGAGCCTTCCAACTAGCTTTCTGAAGAGTCAAACCAGACTCACTGTGGAGAGTGCTTGGGTTGCAGAAAAGAGTGATTGTGAAAACACTACAGGGTTCTGACAACCGGGCTGGCCTGCACTAACCAAACACTGAGTTGTTGTATATATTGACACAGATGATTTAGTCACTGAGGTCAGGGGACAAAGGCAGGAGTGGGTGGATCTCTGTAAGTGTGAGTTTGAGGCCAGCCTGATCTTCACAGCAAGTTCCAGGCTAGGCAAGAGTTGAGACCCTGTCAGGCTACAGGGAGAAAATTGCAAATAGCTTATGAGTTCCAAAGACTCCATTATCCATGCTTAGCTTTAAAAAAATTCATTTAAAATAAACTGCATATTATTTTGTCTCTTTCTTCAGATAATGGGAACATAGAATAGGCATTTGGTGAACTCTGTGGCAATCCTGTAGCCTTCAACTATGCCATTGTCAAACATTTAGAAATTTGCTTCTAGTATTTTCTACCTAGAAAAATAAAAATGCTATAGGCATGTGGAAAATTAGAGCCAAATAGTTTCTTCTAGTCAAAATCATTCTTTGTGATAATTTAGGATCTATGCATTGTATGATGACTATCAGATTCCAGATCATTTGTGTAAAGACTAGAACTATGCAGAGTATGGTGCTTGCTCGCTTTACTGAAAATAAAGTGTAAGTCAACTTCACCTGTTTAATCTTTAAATCTGTCAGCTATTCACCAATAAACCAGAAGTTTCCTGTAGCATCTAATGACATTTTTCCGTATTTATAGGTAAATAGCTTTAATACTCAGGTTGTTCAATTTAACATTTAGGTTATTTATAGTGCCGTTTAATTAAAGCCATCACGTTTACATTAACCGAGTGTTCTTTCCTAGACAATTTACCGCACAACCGAAGCAATCAAAAACTTATTTTGATGATACTAGTTACCATTTTTTTTTCTTAGCAGACACTAAGTTAGAAAACCAAAAATAAACAAGGAAACAAATGAACACAGTCAACAATAACAAACACAAGCATCCAAACAGAATTGCTACGGAGTTAAGGGGGACATGTTGGTGATTCATTATCTGCAGACTGGGGCTTGCTACGTGTACTGTTTTGGTGTCAAAGGCATAGGCAAACTGAATTTTTTACACTCCATACTCCAATACAAATATAGATATGCACGGTCTTACATATCCAGCCAGACATATAGGTACATGTACGTACTTGTGTATATATCTCCACACCTCTCCCTTATATGATTCTACTATGGCTGACGCCCTGGCCCCATTTGTGTATACTTTCTTGGTTCAGCGGTATCTATCAGGTTGACAAGGATGTTCCTCAGTGGTATCTATCAAGGCTGCTCCTTGCTTAGCCTCTTTGTGCTCACTGCTACCTTGCAGCATACACTCTTAAATCTTTCCTGACCTTTCTGTAGTTCCTACCTGAAGGCACCTATTTTTCTTAATTGAATCAATTGCTAATAAAAATTACGTCCTTTTCTGTAGCACCTGCCCACCAGCCTGTGCCCTTCACATCAACGGTGGTTTTCCTTTCTTTACTGATTTTTCTCTAAATCGAAAACAGGCACTTTAAGCCTCCAATAAAAGTTTGTTGACTAAATAAACAAGCATGCTATTATTATATTGCATGTGCTTTAACCTTCTTAACCATGGAAATGGTTTATTTGTCTTTTGTAGGGCCTACTAAACTTTTTTGATTCTGTCTGTGACTTAAGAGGCAATGATATATAGGCTTATATACCTTAGTTCTAATTTTTGGTATAATAGCAGATTGCGTGTGCTCAGCATATCCTGAATACATGGAAGACTGAATATGCAACTAAATGTTGAAAGTAAACCACAAACTTCAAATGAAAATTTTGTAGCGGCTGAAGTTGGCTCAGGGGGTGAGAGTCTATAAGCATGAGGACCTGAGTTTGAATCCCCAGCACCCACATAAAATTCCAGGCACAATAGATATGTTCACCTATAACCCCAGCATTGCAGAAGGGGAGCAAGGCAGACAAATCCTAATAAGTTTTATAGCTTATTTATTTATTTATTTATTTATTTAGCTTTTGTGACAAGGTCTCATGTAGCTTAGGCTGTTATTCTTCAACTCACTATGCAGCTGAGAATGAATGATCTTAGACTTCGAATCCTCCTGCCTCCACCTCCTGTGTGCTGGGATTAACCATCATATTAGCTTTTTGAAGTGTCAGGGATATCAAATCCCCCTCTTCAACCATGCCAGCCACCTCAGCTGTATCTCCAACCCTGACTTCACAGTTTTTTATAGCTACAAAATATATTTGAATTTTTAATCTAAAACTGTTTATAATGTGCCTATTTAGACATCCGTGTTTTGAAGAAAGTTGATTTTCAAAAGGTATTGCAGTTAGCAACAGTTTTACAATTTTAAGCCTCGTAATATTTGCAGACCTGACATCATTGGTGAAGATACCACCTATTGTTATTGGTGTAGAATTTTACAACTATCTCAAGCTATCCTTGTCTCATTATGAACAGGTAGTTGAGGCACAAAGATGTTGCAAACGATTTTGGTGGGGAAATTGACGATAGGCTGGGATACAGGGTACTTTTATGTTGTTTTCTCCTCGAATATCAAACCGGACTCCAGACATAATGGTAGTTGCTCTGTGAAATAATGTTCAAAAGAATTCCACTAAATGAATGATCCACTGTGATCCTTGCCGGGTTTTGGTGCTCTCCTGGTGCAGGAGATGCCTGCTGTGCATGAGTCCCCTCCTACACTCCGGGCCAGGGTTTCTCACACCTCGTAGCTGTGCTCTTGGATCTGGGAGGCTGCAATTTAAAAGAGCCTTTGGACTGGGGTGAGTTTGTCTGCTAGTTTAGGGGTGTTTGTCCAAAGTGAAAGAAGTAGAGGCAGCCCGAGGAGTGGAAGGATGGGAGCACAGATTGGGTCCAGAGGTGGAGTTGAAGTTCTTTTTATTTCTGGGGAAGTTGGAGAGAGTGATGAGGCCTAGTGAACCAGCGCCAGTTGCCTAGCAACCGGAGACGCTGGTCTGGTCTAGACTGTTGAGTTTTCTGGGGACTGTTCCTGAGCTTGCCCTTGGGAAGCTCTCAGAAGGAAGTTCTTGGTGGAATCACCTTGGTTTGTACCCTTTCCAGTCCCTCTATTTCCGGCTTGGGTTGTGTGGAGCTAACGCTGGTAGGTTAAGTGAGCATGCCTTGCTCCCTAGTGTGGCCCTGAGTCTTGGAAGAAGGGGATAGTGGATTCCTTTTGGAGCACTCCAGGTACTTCAGTTTTCTGAGTCTCAGCTTGCTCAGTGCAAAAATCACAAGGTTGGATGATCTTAGCTTTTGAAGCAAGTCCTGTCCAAGTCGTTCGAGTCTCTAATTAGAGTGCGGGGATGGTGGTGGTGGGGGTGGGGCAAATCCTAATCCTGGAGACTTCAGTGTGCCCTTCCAGCAGCATTTCCCTTTCAACATTCTGGTTTACATCAGAATGAATGTCTTTTATGCTAGAACTTCTGTAACTTCTGAGTTAACTCATATCTAACTGGTCGACTTCTCTTACCTTCTAGGCTTTCTGCTATATCCCTCGATATAAAACGAGCAGCACGAGGACTCATCACTTTTATCAGCTTACAGTTTTACTGAAGATTATTTAGTGCTACTTAGAGCTGCAAACAGCTTACCCAGTTGTTTCCAGAAAGACTTGTAGGTTGGCATTGCGATTGTCATAGATGCAGAGGAACGAATCTATGGGTTTATTCCAAGTGCTTATGGACATTTATGGTGTGTCAATTTGTCTATTGACTAGATAAGTATTTAGTAAGAATTTATATTATAGGGAGGGCATTAAATACCTGAATCCTTTGAGGTTGTGGTAGGACATTAGAAATGCAGAGAGGTAATTACACTGGAATGGCAGAAGCAGGGTATTCTGGAGTTTATATTTGCTGATCTTATTCATTGTAAATAGAGTCTTGTGATTTAGAATGTCGTACAGTTATTTGGAATGGCTATCATAGTTAGTAAGACAGGAAGTTTGGAGGCCGATAATATGACTGAGAAGCCATGGGGCTGCTTGCTCAGTGTCTCCGTCTTAGCTTTGGCTTCTGTGTTAGTTATTGTCCTATTACAGTGAAGAGTCACCGAGACTAATGCAACTTATAAAAGAAAACATTTAACTGAGTCTTGCTTGCAGTTTCAGAGGGTATGTTCAGGGCCATATTGGCAGGTCGCATAGCAGCAGGCAAGCAGGCGTGGCACTGGAGCAGTTTCTGAGATCTTACATCAGACTGGGCCCGATGTGAGCTTTTGACCTCTCAAAGCCCCTTCCCCAGGGGCACACTTCTTCCAACAAGGCCACACCTTCTAGTCCTTCCTAAACAGCCCGCCAACTGGGGACCAAGCATTCAAATATATGAACCTATGGAGATAGTTCTTATTCAAATCGTCACAGCCTGTCAGTTGGTAGTCATCATGGCAAATGCAGTAATGGCCTTGGGTGCATTAGGCAAGTGCCATACCACTGGACTACAACCCCACCCTACCAATGTAACTTTTGCGATGTGACCAAAATGGACCTTAGGCATAGAACATAACCCCCCTCCCCCTCTTTTTTTGAAAGGACACATATGAAGGCCATATGAAGAGTTATTTGGATTACTTGAAAATCTGACAATTTATGTTATTTTCAGAGTATGTTTATTTTGATTTGGTAAATTTACTATTAGAGTAAATTTACTATTAGAGTAAGATTCCTGGCTGAAAGTGAGGGATTTTTAGAGGAGAAGGATTTGGGGCAGTGTGGGAAGAATGAAAACGAAAAGGTTCAAGGGGATTGGGGTTAATTATATTGGGCATGAATACTTGTGATGGTTGCCATCTATAAAATGTCACCTCGTTCCATCAGGATGAGGAAGGCATTGTTATTCAATTTATCTTACACACTATGAACATTGACTCAGAGAGATTAAATTTTTTTCCCTCCAGTTTCAAGTTATGGGAACTCAGGAAAAATCAGAATTTTGATAAAAGTTTATCTAACTGAAGCTGCCACTGCCATCCTGTTTTTTAAAAAAACAACAACAAATAAACAAAAATAAAAATAGAAACAACTCCCAGTGTAGTATAAGAAAAGAAAGTGGGAATGAACTTTAAGTGTGGGAGGGGGAGTCTCCATGACCTTCATGGTGCCAAGCCTCATCAGAGTGACCAGCATCCAGAGGCAAGAAGGGTTGACTGAGCGGCCAATGTTGGTCCTAACTTCCAGAAGCTGACCCTGAGTGTTTAATTTTTGGCCTGTTTAAACTCAACACAATTTGGTGAAAATGATTCCAGTGATGATTAAATTAGCCCCCCACTCACAACAAAGCACACATAAATCTCGAGTTACAACGTAAGCTAAATACTGATTAGACCTGGGTGTGCTGAAGTTCTTTATAAAGTCCATGAAGATGGGTGGTATAGGTTGACAGAGAAAAACAAATTTACAATAAGAGTCTGGAGGAGGGTCCAATGCCAGAAAACTTTCTACCATATAGATAGGGCAAAGGTTACCAGGCTTTGGCTTGGAAGCACATTCACCCAGTTCCAAGCTCCTAGACAGAAAAACAGGTATAGCATTCCTTCCTTTGAAGATAGAACCTTATATGTATGCTTAACATTCCACAGGTCAGAATAAAAACATGTAAAATTTTGAGGACTGATTGAGTCACTTGATTTAACAAGTAGTTTTTTTAAATGCCATTACATAATTAATACTATTTATAAAAAATTACTAATTATTCTGTTGGTAGAATTTTTTTGTTTTGTTTTTTCGAGACAGGGTTTCTCTGTGTAGCCCTGGCTGTCCTGGAACTCACTCTGTAGACCAGGCTAAGCCTCGAACTCTTGAACTCAGAAATCCGCCTGCCTCTGCCTCCCAAGTGCTGGGATTAAAGGCGTGCGCCACCACTGCCCGGCTGTTGGTAAAATTTTTGTTTGTTTGTTTTATTGCTTTTGTTTTGGAGACAAGGTTTCTCTGTGTGGCCTTGGCTGTCCTGGAACTCACTCTGTAAATCAGGCTGGCCTTGAACTCAGGGATCCCCCTCCCTTGGCCTCCAGAGTACAGGGATTCAAGGCGTGCACCACCTCCGTTAAGAAATATTTTCATTAGTCTACCCTGACAGTATCAAAATCCACAATGGCTTGAGAACTGAGTATAAAGAAAGCTCATGGCATAGAGAAGACAGGCAGACTATTATCCGCTTCCCAGTTATATTGTAAAACCTTAGCATAGACCGAATGGCTTTAAATAATGCAAGCGTGTTACATTGTACTCTTGGAGGTGAGTGCACACCTTTTGTCTGGATAGCAAGCTGCCAGCAAGACCAGCTCCTTTTGGAGGTCCCAGAGGAAGAGTCATTCCTTGTCTCTTGGGCATCCTGGAAATTGCTCACTGTCTTTCTCGTCTTTGGTGGCAGCTGCGTAGCATCTGTGTTTCTCTCGGAATTGGACTTGGGATTCCATCTTCCCACCTTCTCTGACGTACACAGATCCTCCCATCTCCCTCTTTTAAAGACCCGTGTGGTTCTAGTGAGCCCAACAGATTAATTTTCCCATCTTAAATGTTTAACTTAATCCCACCTGAAATACTACTTTTTCGATGAAAGAGACACAGTCACAGGGGCCTAGAGATTAAGATAGAGACCTTTTGGGGCATACGTTTTGCAGACTGTCATGAAGCATGATGTATTCGTATCACTCAAACTTTAGTTTATAAGGCCAATGATGATTTATTATTATTAGCCACCACCATTAAACACAATGGCTTCTTTCTATGGAAAAGTTCTGTGTGTGGATTATTTAAAATTATAATAAGAATGACTCTTTTGCACTTCCTTTCATCTTTTTAGAAATACAGTACTTTGCATGAGGAATATAGACATTTGAATGGATCTAGAGGTAAAAGGAGTGGCAGCATCTAGGAGCCAGACTCGGCTGTTTTCTGGAAGAAAGAATTCACTGCAAGTATGTAAGCCCTAGGACTTTCCTCTTAAAGAAGGATTCTTTCAGTTGCTTCCAGCGTCCTTTACTTACTCCTGTTTTTATGACTGTTCACACTCACAAATATTTAGGATCGTCACTTCTTAGATTTGTAAGTGTGGGACCACTAAAGTTGATGATAATCATTATTTTGATATCTAACATTGATTAATTTCATTTCAATCTGTTAGTTTTAAGCTTATTGATTTATTGTTATTTTTTTAAAAAATCACCCATGTACTTACAGAGAATATAAGAGAAAGGAGAAAATATAGAAGAGGAAAATATCGTTTGCCTTACAATGTCACCTGTGTTACATGCCAGTGAATTTATGTTTAATTGGTACATCATTGTAAACTGCCTCTTAATATTAGCTTACACTATCAGCGTTTTATATATTAAAATTTCTAAAAGTAGTTTTAGTGGTCACATAAAACTTAGTGTAGTTTATATACGAAGGAAGATTTAAAAGATCATAAACTGAATTTTTTCCAAATTGTATACTGCTTACTTAAAATGAATTTTCAGTGGTCGAATCCCTTGTTTTATTTACTATGTACTCAAAACCTGCTTAGCATGATGCTAGGTGCTAAACACCCAACAGTAAATGAAATGAAGACTTAGCTCAGGAAGTCTCGAGTCTTAGAGGTGAGATTCATATGCCAGCAGTGTTAAAATTTCAACTAAGGGAGAATATTTAACGGAGAACCGTAGGTGTTTAAAGCAGAGAAGGTGGTAAAATGTAGGTAGAAGGTTTCAGTGAAAATGACGTCTTTATTCATTGCTTGTTCATGTTTCTGAAAGGCAAAATGGCTGCAGGCTCAAACAGCAGAGCTACAGATGATACAGCAATCACCAACTTGCTATTTTTGGATTTAAATCCAATCAAAATGTTTGCTGAGCAAATTTTACATTTTTTATGTTAGTTATATAGGACAGGCATCTGGGTTTGAATTGAGAGGATCGACCTTCTCCTCAAGACACTACTGCTTTATAGTTCATGGAGTAACAAAACACAATTCCTCTTTCTCTGGTATTTTAGAGTGATTTTTCTTCATTTATTTATTGAGAAGTTCATACATAGGTACTATATATGATTGTCTACTCACCCAATTCCCTCCAAGTCTTCCCATATGCCCCAAAGTCCCTCTGACTCTTTTATTATTATAGTAAATTATAAATTATAGTATATAATATATAATATATAACATATAATATATGATACATAATATAAAACATAACATATAACATAAATAAATATATCACATAGTAATATATTAATATAATTATATTTATATACATATTATATAATATATGCACATGTATATAAATTATATATACCATTATTTTTTATTGGATATTCTAATTATTTACATTTCAGATGCCATCCCCTTTCCCCATTTCCTCTCCTTAGAAAACCCCTATCCCATTCCCCCTCCTCCTTTTTGCTTTTATACCACTTTAATTACATGTAAGTATTAAGGTCAGTTCTAGGTTGAGGAACTAGCAATACAATAGATGCAAATAGTCAAGGAACAAGCAAGAAAACAAACATAAATAGTCTAAGAACAAGCAAGGCAATAAACAAAATTCTGTGATCACTCCCATGATCACAATTTCTAAGGGCTTATCAGGATGACCAAAATATCTGAGCCTATTTCCCTGTCCTAGCCCAAAGTCATTTTCATGTCTGAAGCCTACTTCCTTGTTCTAGTCTAAAATTAAGATTCCTTCCTGAAATTACTTCTTTGTTCTAGCCTAATATTTATTTAGATTTCTGTCTGAAATTACTTCTTTGTTCTAGCCTTAGATTTAGATTCCTATCAGAAATTACTTCTTTGTTCTAGCCTAATATCAGATTCCTGCCTGAGGCCCATTTCCTTGTCCTTGACCTATGTCAGATTCTTGTCAAGCAGCCCCCAAAGCTCTCTGCCTTTCCCTCCTTTTTATTTCCTAAACAAGACTGAGCCTGTCTTAGGTCGTTCTGACAAGAATGCCTTCCTTACCCATCATGGAATATGCATTATCAAAAGCAATGCACTTATGTCTTAGGTTGGTAAGGCTCTGTGCAGAATCTTACCCGTCCTTGGCTTGCTAGCCTGTTAATTTAATAACTCTGTTTGGGGGCCCATTTTCAGGTTCAAGTCATGTACTTTAGCTGCCAACATGTTAATGTTGTTAAAGACAAGCTTCAACATGATGGCCAGAAATAAAAGTATTCCCAGGACAAAAAAGTCTGACATGATCAAGCTATATATACCATTCTTGAAGCTTGATCAAAATAGAAATACTGACCTCAAGCCATGGGTAATTTTATCAGCTGTATCTGCTGCATCAACACTCAGAAGAGCAGCATTCTTTACATTCACAAGCTCACTATAAAAAATTAAAACATCCAGAGAGGTGTTAGAATTATGCCAAATATACTGCAAGTGTCTTTAAACTTTTTCCTAATTATAATGACTACCACTGTAACTTTTAGAACTAACATGAACCCAATGGTATTTGACATGACACTTGAGATGGCTCTTTGCCCTTAAACTCTGAACCACCTCCAATAATTTGAATAGGATAATAATAGATAACATATTATGCATATAATTTACAAATACAATCTGATGAATCCCTTCAATGTTGTTCGTATGTGTATGTATTTAGGGCTGCCCACTTGGGATTGGTTAACTTATCAGGGGCTTGAGAAGAGGGACCTCTCTCTCTTTCTCTGCAGCCAATAATTGCCTATAGTACTTCATGTAGGGGTGGGGCCTCCACCCACAGTTGACACTGTTATTATTTTTCAGGCCTTGTTTAAACAACCATGTTGTTGAGATTCCATGGGTACAGCTTCCCTGTTATGTATGTCTAACACGAGACACCCTGTCACTCTTCCTGCCTGCTCCACCTTGGTTATAGTTTGGGGGCACATCTTCCGAAGCTCAGAGTGCTGTGAAGGTGGTGAAGGTGTCTTAGCTATCATTTTCTCTGTGTCTTAGTTGCAGTGAGGAAGGTTTGGGAGGCACATTTTCTATGGAGTTTACTGAGGAAAAAAAAAATCGAATTCTCTTTATTCCATCCAGTCATGATTATATGATTATCTTTTAATGTGAAAGGTACACTGATTCTGTTTTTTTGTATTTTTCTTTCTTTCTTTTTTTTTCTTTTTTTAATTAAAGCAAGGATGGACTTCCAGATCATGGGCAATCCCAAATTCCTGCCTACCTATGTAAGCTATATTTCTTCACATATTTATTCCTGAATAGGCAGACACTTATGATACCTTGATTAGTTAAAAACCCTATATATGCATATTTACATATATATGTATGTATATAGTTTTGATTGTGAAGTATAGCAAAAACTGCATAGAGCTTGTCTGAATATTATTGTAGAGAATTAAAAGTCTTCTTCTGATAGGATAGTAAGAATATGAATAATATTATGTTGTTCTTACTTTATTTAATGCTGCTCTCCCATTTTTCTGAAAAAGATGAATTCTTTCTTTCAAAAATTTATTTTGTCTTTTTAAAATTCAAATTTACTTTAAAGTAACAATAACATTACAAGACTGCATCTACTTTGATTATTTTTAGTATACAGAAAGTATAAGTGTAGTGTACTTCAGTCTAGCAAATTTCTACTTTTAGTATTCTAAAGGAATTCTACAGGGTATTTTGATACACGTATAAATTAGGATAAGCATACCTACTCCAAATGCATATATTAAAGAAATGTATGACATCTTTCATTTTATGATTGGCATAGCAAAAGTTATCTAGTATTAGCTATATCTGTATTTTAAACTGTTATGTTGAAGAATATGAGAATTTAATTGATATTATTTTTACATTTATATACATTCTATATTGATATATTTTCATATTATTAAAGTTTTCTTTATATTTAAATATGTCTTATATGTTATAGTTTCAAATAGTTGAAAAGTATAAAACACTCTAATAATATATGTTTCATATAATTTAGATTGGAAGACATCTTTGACATAGAAACTAAAAGTAGCAATTTGCTAGGCTGGACCACACCACACTGATACTTTCTGTGGACTAAAAATAAGCAAAGCCAGTAATTTCATCTGTTGCTACATGATAGATACCTATATCTTCTGCAAGACATAAATCATAAATTATGTGTAAGTAAAATCGTATGCTTAGGTACTGAACACACAATAGGAAGACTATAGCACGGGGTGTTCTAGTTGTGTGCTAAAATATGCTTTACAATTGATGTGAAACGTACTGTTTACTACATATTTAGTTGCTAATTATAAAAATTAAGTGCATGTTAACCTGGTTAAAGTTTTTGTTAGGTAAATTATATTAGCAAGAAATTTTCACAGCTAAGAAAATATTTAAATTATTACAAAGTTTATTTAGCCTATTTGTACCTACAAAGTGTGTTACTTGTTTTTCCCCGAATATTTATAACCAGCCTATGACTGTAAGCGTACCTACATTCATTAGTTCCAATGTGAATGTTGGTTGATATATTGATATATTTCTTTGCTATAAAATATTATGAGTGGCTTCTTGCTGAAACCCATTTTGAATGCTTAAAATACTATTGCTGAATATTCTCTTGTGCTGCCCACTACTCGACAGCTCCGTGTATGGTATATTTAAGTTTTATCTGCAGTATTGATATTTCTCCCTCTGCTGCTTAAGTCTCAGAAGTCAACAAAATAAATAGTAAATCAGATCCTGATTCACAGTGTTTGCTGACTTCCATGTTGTCAGTCGATCACCAGCTGATTTCAGTGGAACAGAGTTGGAGAGAAACATGCGCAGTTATAATAGGATTCTGATATAGATCTTACTAACCTGCCGCGTGCTCACCTCAGCAGGACGGTAGATGTTCTAGGGCATGCACAACAGCAGAGCAGGAACGTCGTTAGGATGATAGATTTGAGAACACATTGCCCTCGTCCTTTTTCTTGTGTGTCTGTGTATGTGTGTGGTGTACCTCGGGGATCCCTTCCCATCCTTCCGGGTGCGGATGACAAGCAGCTGGGATCCCTTCCCATCCTTCAGGGTGCGGATGACAAGCAGCTGCCTCTACAGAGCTGCCCAGCAAATGCCTAGAACATTGAGACACCTCCTTATTCTCACCTTTGTATGAACATAATGTATCTAACCATAATTTTCTATGCTTTCTTATTATTTCATTATTGTTATATTTTTATTTTATTATTCTTTATTAATGACTAGATTGAATAACTGATATGAAAAGTTATTTAATATTTGTCAAAAGCTAGGCAGTGGCAGCCAACATCCCATTAGCTTAACTGCTACTTTGTATAGATGATGCATTTGGTAGTGACTTTTCTGTTATTACACACTCACTTAAAATTTTATGAGACGCATAGATTATTTCTTTTAGGGTCCCACCACTTGATCTGGGAAGCCTCGCTGACTCTGATGAGGAGGTAATTTTAACTTTCTGTTTAATACAGTAAATATTTGACTGCAGCATCCCCAATCAGCATGTACTAACTCTCATTCCATTTCACTTTTTAGGATAATTTCTCACAAGCACCATGCGGTACAGTCCATGTTCCTCCTAATCCACCACGGTCACAGCCTGCTCTGGGTTGGGTTATGCCGTGTCAAAGACCATATATTCAGCATCATCTACATGAAGTGGTCAGTATGTATTTCAGTGTTACAGTACATACCATTAGAGCTGTTCTTGGCTTACATTTTTTTCCCTAATTAATCATTGTGTCCTCGGTTTACGTAAGTTGCATATAAAAATTTCCAACTGTGGTACTGATGAAATAGTTTATAGTTTTCGAATACTGAAATGACATTTTAAATACTTGTAAAGTTGGCAAATTGCAAGTGTGTCTGCGTACGGATTCCAGGAATTAAAAAAAAAAAAGGTAAAATATGAGATCATAACATATTATTTGAGTAACAGAAGACTGATTTCTTAGAAATTAGTTTAGATTTTAGAATACTAAGAAGTAGGGAAATAATCAAACTTAATCAATAATAATAACAACAATAATAGTAGTAATAATAATAAAAATAATGATAATGATAAAGTGATACCTCCTCAGTCTGTATTTTACAATGGTTATTGCTCTAAGTTTGGCTCTGCCTTGTCTTCTGTCATACTTGGATCTCCTCAGAACTCTTCAAGGGCTGGACTGGTATCTGCATATTTTCTTTTGGCAGTGTCTGTGCCTATCTAAATCTGCTGCCTCTGTTATCTTTGGCTACCATGGCTATTTGACAAGGAACCACAAAATACTAGGGGATAAAACAGTAATATTCTAGAAATGGAAACTGTGGTTCTTAACAGTGTCAGTCTCTAAATTCTGGGACTGTTTGGTCTGGAAGGAAAAGATCTTCATAAAACATCTAAGAGAAAAACCTTGATCATAAATCTTTCAAGTTACTTTAGCAGTAGACTTTCAGCAGCGAAAGGAGTAAAGGATTACTGAGGCCAAGTGCCCATTCTGATCAATTTTATATATATATTGCACATAATATAAAAATATATAAAAGTTATATATATACATCTATCTATCTATCTATCTATCTATCTATCTATCTATCTATCTATCTATGTATCCATTTTTTTTTCAAGACAGATTCCCCGTGTAATCCTGGCTGTCCTGGAATTTTTTTTGTAGCCCAGGCTGGCTTCAAACTCACAGGGATCCACCAGCCCCTGCCTCCTGAGTGCTGAGATTAAAAGTGTGTACCACCACATGTCAATCCTATCTGCTCTGATCATCGCTCGCCAAGCTAAATGTTTTTTGCTTTGTTTTACATTAATTAATTCATTAATTAATTCACTTTAGCTAAATATTTTAAATGTTCCTTTTGTTCGTTTTACAGTTAAGTGGTAAGAAAAACAGTAAACATGGCAATGTCAACAAGAAAAATACTGTCTTTTAAAAAAAATATTATTTTCTGACAGACAGCATACGTTGTTCTACCCCTAGGAACAGGACGTAATACCCGAGGATTTGCCAGCGCCAACAGGCAAATATAAGCTAAAGTACCAGCAGTACGCAAGCGAAATGAAGGACGGCTACAAACAGTACATTCAGAGGTGTACAGAGAAGCCAAAGGCAGCGAGCAGGCCAGAGTCAAAGGAGCAGGTAACAGTCGAGCCTCTGGAGGACTAACAAACTTCAAAGTGAAGAGTGTGCCTGTCTTGGAAATGCCATTTTTGCTGTTAATTATAGAAAGTATAACACAGAATGTGTATTTCAATAAGCCAGGGCTATTTAAAATGGTTTTACTTATGTCAAGTAGTTTACTCTTCGTGACAAACCCAAATCACTAATGTCAGGATTTCTCATATGGAAACTTTTATTCCTATCCTCACATGTGTGTTCAATCCTTTTATTTAATTGAGAGTGGTGGCATGTATATATAAATGTATGTGTGTGTAAGTATACATATATGTACATATATATGCACATATGTTTATATGTACACACATACATTTTTCATGCAGTTTTCATGAACTATAGTTTATTTGGGCTATAGTCTAAGCTTTAAAGTTGAAAAGAGCTTTCAAACCTTAACAGTGTTCTGTTGTAAAACTGCCTCTGCTTCTCTGTCCTTGTCCCATTTGGTGAGTCCTACTGATAACCTTACCAGCTTCTGACATTGTTGTGATTTATTAAATCAGAAATAAATATTAGTTAGGCACTATTGAATCATTGTAGAATATTAGGTATAGTAAGTGTCTTAGCTACGGTTTTACTGCTGTGAACAGACACCATGACCAAGGCAACCCTTATAAGGACAACATTTAATTGGGGCTGGCTTACAGGTTCAGAGGTTCAGTCCATTATTATCAAGGCAGGAATGAGGCAGCATCCAGGCAGGCATTGTACAGGAGAAACAGAGTTCTACATCTTCATGGAAGGCTGCTAGGAGAAGACTGGCTTCCAGGCAGCCAGAATGAAGGTCTTAAAAACCATGACCACAGTGACACACCTACTCCAGCAAGGCCACACTTACTCTGACAGGACCACACCTAATAGTGCCACTCCTTGGGCCAAGTGTATACAAACCATCAAAGTAAGTGTAATGGATCCTGGGGATACAGTTCATTGATAGACTGTTTGTGACTGGATATAAAGTGAATAAAGAAATTGATGGGGAAAAAAAAAGCAACAGGTTAGACCACTCTTGAGCAATGTCACCCAAGGTTGGCCTCTGGCCTCCACATCTGAATGGGTGAATGTGAACCTCTCCCCTGCACATACACTTAAAGTCTCTGTGAGACTTTCTATATAAACCACTTGATGAACTGCCTGGTACCATGAGACAAAAAGCACTATTTGAAAGGGACAGTTATTAAATTAGCATCTAACTGGCACTCTCTGGAAAGAGACAAACCTAGTGTCAGAAATGGGAGCCTCGCTCTATCAGGGAGGAATATGGGGACGGACTCTCTGCTGATTCCGTAAAATTAACATTTTATACATGGGAGCTAGAGCCACATGACAGGCTGCAGCTGCTGAAACTGTAAACTCAGCTGATCTCCTTGATTCTGCTTGCTAATTGCCTCTGTCGTGTTTTCCTGCCACTTATTGTAAAAAAGGTCACGAGTCTCTCTTTCTCCGATTGTTTCACTAATTGCATTGGTTACTTTGTTCATTTCTGTGGCAAAAAGCCTGACAAAGGCAACTTAAGGAAAGAAGGATTTCCTTTGGCTCAGAGTCTGGGCTCACAGTTCACTATGGCAACAGAAGCCTAGGGCAGCTGTGCAGACTGCATCTGCCGTAGGGAAGCAGAGAGAGGCAGATTCTTCCTTTTATTTAGCTCTGAACTCTAGTCCATAGGATGATGTCACCCATGTTTACGGTGGGTCTCCCTGCTCTGTTAATCCCTTTGGAGTGATCCATGGAGGGTCGTCAGGGAGACCTTTCCAATAGGATATCATTTCAGCCCCCACCTGAAAAAGATAGGAGACAAGCAGTCAGGGGAAAGGCTTCAGTGCTGTGGAGTAGGACTGGTCATGAAGCATTTGAAAACTATGGTGTGGTTAGCAGAGGAGGAGGGTGAGATAGACCAGATGAGAAGAGACCGTTCAGTTATAGGGAGGCAGCCCATAGCAGCCCCACAGTCCATGTGAGGGCTTCTGCCTTTTTCTCTGAGGTAGAGAGTCTGCTTTATTCTGTTGTGAGTAGGTCTTTATTATGGGCACAACTAGAATCAGAAAGACCTTTAAGGAGACTACCAATATAATGGCAGCACCAAGTAAGGATGAAGCCTCTCACCCAGGCGGGGGGTAAGACTGAGTTGAGAAGCAGTCTTATTGGATGGGCTTCTGGCTAGGCTCTGAAGGCGAGCCAAGTTGCTAATAGATTGTTTGTAGACTTGAGAGACAGAGATCAGAGTGACTGTCCGCGGTTGAATATTTGGGGTGACGTCATCTGTGTGATAATAGTCAAAGCTGGTTAATCCACATATAGAAAGGTGGGACCTATCACTTACATAATTGTTGCCAGAGATGGGGTGCGGGGTTGGGGATAGAGGGAGATATCACCAAAGGGTTCAGTGTTGTTTATCAGAAGAGTAAGTTCTGGGGAACTAATGTTAATAAGTACTTGGTGACTGCAGTTCCTAATGTTGTGTATTTTGTAATTCTATGAGGAAATTTTAAGTATTCTCATACACTTATGCTAACCACACGAGCAGATATGAATTGACCTTACTGTTGTGATTATCATACAATGAACACATAACAAAGTAACACATTTTATACCCTAAGTATTTTCTGTTTGTCAGTATAAGAGTATCAAATTACAGAATAACTATGCCTTTTGGTTGGCGCAGTTGCCATAAGCAAGAGGTAGGAACGGACTATGTGAGAATCCGAGGTGGGCAGTACATCTTGACATATGGAGTGGCATGCTTGCCACTTGCCTTTTGTGGGACGTTCAAAGCAAAGTGAGGTTTTTGTTTGTTTGTTTGTTTTGTTTGTTTGAAAACAGGGTCTCAGAGTGTACCCCATGGTGTCATGGAATTTGCTCTGTAGGCCAGGGTGGCCTTGAACTCAGAGATGTCCCTGCTTCTACCTCCTGAGTGCTGGCACCAAAGGTGTGGACCACCACACCTGGTTAAAAATGATTTTTTAACTCAGACATAATGCTACTTTAGCATGTTCTTAAAGCTGATTTCTTTAATTCACTTCAGCATTATCTAGGCGTTTTCTTGGTGTTCATTTAAGTAAGTGATTATTTAGAAAAAATAAATATTATCAGGTAAGTAAATTAAACTATAAAGCATCCTCCTTCACGGTTTTTCATGAAATAGTCATTATGAGGCATGGGGCCACAGCAATCGTGAAGTCCCTGTTCTCATGGAACAGATCGTATTAGGAGATGCAGACAATAAATCATAAGCAATATGCGATAGTTCTTCATGTAGCAGTGAAAGGTCATGAAGTCAGGGAAGAACTTGACATCAGTGTGGCCTTCCAAGGAAGAGAGACAGTGAGCAGAAATCTCAGAGAAGAAACTCACGAAGTCTGGCATGTTCCTCACTAGTTGCTATTAGAGTGTTTTGTTAGATAAGGGATTACATAGCTCGTTATTTATAGAAAATTTTGATGTTTATCTTTTTGAAATCCCAAAGAATCCCTCATTACTTCCGAATGTAGACTAGACCTTGTCTCATCCCTGGATCCAGGGGCAGACCTGACTGGGGAAGTGATGGAATGAAGAAAGGCCAAGACATGGACACACAGAAAAGCGGGGCTCTCGAGGGCAAAGACTCACCACCCCAGAAGCTCAGTCTGTTGATTACATAGAGTTGAAAAGGGAGGCAGAGTCATTCATTCAGATAAACAAGGAGCCAGGGTTAGTCCATTCTGCTGACCCAGGAGGCGGGTTTAGCTAATCCAGGGAGCCATCTCTGTAGGGCAGTGGTCTTTAGGCTGTAATCATCTGGAGGGAAAAAGCTATGACAGGCATTTTCTGCACACATTATTGACATTTGCACTTAGAAAGAGGAGGGAAGGCTTTGCCATTTCCCTGAGCCTATCCTGTGGAAAGCCTAGCCTTGAGATCACCTGTGGGGCTGAGGTATTGGTCCTTGACAGGGTCCTGACCATGTCAATAACACACATTCCTCTCAGGACTTTAGACCACACAGGGCATCCTTTCACTCCCAACAGGACATATCCACATTAATTGAGATTTTAAGGACTCAGTATGCACAGTGGTAATTACAACCATTTCTGTCTTTTATTTAATGTTGACTATGTATCAGGTCATTTATATAAGCATTAAGAATGTGCCATCTCATTTATCATCTCCGGGCGCAGTATCTACTGTTATTCCCAGTTTATGACTAACGTGAGGCCCAGAAAGGTCACTTGGATGAACAAAGAAAGACCTGTCTCCCAAGACAGGCTTGTACTCTCAATTCTTAGACAGCCTTTGAGATACTCGGTGGTCTATTCCCGGGTTTTGTTAAAACCACGTGAACATGTGCCTGATAACTGCTTATTGGCTTCATTGCGTAGCGTGATCAGGTGGACCAAACCAGTCTGGATGACCTCATGTCTTTGGATAGGAAAGCCCTCCTTCAGCAAGGTTATGCAGAGAGCCCTTACCGTAGATGGAGCAGCGCAAGGAAGTCAGATGTGGTAAGCCACCGGCAGTTTTGTTCTTATTTATTTGCTAAGTCATGAAGGCGTTTACCCTCTGTAGAGAAATTTTAATCCAGCAACATGGCTGCTCTGGCAATAAATCACATCCAAAGGCCTTCTAGGTCTATTTGATCTGGCTGGAATGCAGAAATGCCTTAGTACATATCTTTAATCCCTAATAATGAAGGTGGGGTTTCCTGGACACGCCCCCAGGGGTTATGTAGAGAAAAGGGCCGCCATGTTCTCTAATCTTCGTTCTGACTGTGAAATGCAAGGCACCTTGTTGGAAATATGTCATGATGTCTACTGAAATTTAAGTGCGTTCACTTTTAAGGAATGGCAGTGGAAGATTCAATAATTGGAATTTGATATATTGACAGTAGTCATCTAGACTTAGGGAGAAAATTGGAAAGATTATATTTTTATGACGTACATTAAGTGTTCTGCTTTATGGATAACAAAATTGTGTTTTAATTTTATTTTCTCAGGAGACTGTGGCTATCGAGAAGAAGAAAAAGATCGTTGCAGAGCAAATGATGATAGACCACTTATCCAGGTGGGCGCTAGTAACTCCCACCACACCTGTATTCTGAAAGGGACCACTAAATTCCTTCTTCACGCAAAGCGTCCATATGCTTGTCAATCAATGCTTAGCTGCCAGCAATCCCCAGCCTTCCTGCTCACTGCACCCTTGTCATTTCAGTGAGCTTTGAGATGAACAGAAATACTTAAAAGTTCAGGCTAGGGAGATAGTGCAGTCTGCGAAGTGCTTGCCATGTTAGCAGGAGGACTTGCTTTAAATTCTCAAAACCAAGGTGAAAAGGCAGGTATGGTAGCATGTGCTTGTAATTTTAATGCTGGGGAGGAGACCTGGGGCTTGCTTGTCAGCCAGCCTCACTTACTTGGTGAGCTCCAAGCCAATGAGAGACCCTGTATCAAGAGACAAGGGGGAGGCTCCAGAGGTTGTCCTCTGGAGTCCATTTACATGTGTATATACATATGAACCCACATGATCATGTATTCACAGGTAGGCAGCCATGTGTGTATGGATGCATACACACACACACACACACACACACACACACACACACACACACGTGCGCACGCACTTGCACCTAAAAATTCTTATTGTCTCATGAAGCATTTTTTATTTAAACTACTTAATAATTCTCTTCTGACAACCTAATGAACATTTTTGAATCACATATAAATTAGAAGACAGCATTTTAGAAAAATTCACTCACAGAATTCTAGATTGCTTTTTAATGGTGTGTACGCTTCTTTTGGACACTGTAGAACTTTCAGAGTTACATTCTGTTGAGTGTAATATTTAATAACAGCCGATGGTTGGGCCGACTATCTATGTGGTGGCAGCTCTGAAGCCAAGCACTCCACAGCTGGAGGTGGCCATAGGCCATACTCGAATTTCAGCTAGAAACACTGGCCCTTGCACCCACGAGACGCCATTGTGGGGATGGCTCTGCCAATCTTCCACATTGCTCCACAAGGCTGGCTATCCACACGATACCCAGTAGGAAATGAGACTCTAATGCTTAATGATTATTAAATTAAAGGGTTTATATGTTTGACAATGCTCAATTAGCAAGATGCTCACACAATTAGAGGTGTTAACCAATTAACTAACCTAGATATAAGTTGGTACCCAGGACTGCCGTCGGTCCAAGCGTGGTCCTCCATCCTCCTACATCTCTGTCTCTCTCCTGCTCCTCCTCTCTCTTCTCCTCTTCGTCTCTTTACTCCTCCTCTTCTTCTCCTTACTCCTCCCACCTTAGCTTCTCCCAACTTGCTGGGAAATTTCCCGCTACAAACTTCTGTCCTGTTCTTGATTTTCACATAATATTGGCTGTTTGTCATAGCACCTGTAGAAAACTGGGCTTTCAAAGATGTAATATGACATAAGGATGTTAGTGAGATATCTTGTCAAAACTAGGACCTCCGTTGAGCCAGTTGCTATGGTTTCCAAATGGTGACGAGCATTGTATCTTTCCATAAGAAACAAATATCCCACAGGGTCACTGTGGTAGCAGGTGACTTGTGTAGAGTTGGACATGGTGAAACTAATTGTTGATAATTTATAAATCTTCCAGCAACGGTATAAAATAATTCACAATGTGATAAACTGTCACATGATGAGTAAGTCATCGAGGAAAAACATGTTTAGTTTGGTGGCCATCCATGTCTGACTAGCATATTCTCCCGGGCCTCCTTTCTGTGTTTGGTGCCGAGCTACCCCGGGGCCTTCCATGTGCTGTGTAAGTGCCAGCAAGTTCTTTGAAGTCACTGTCTGCAGTGTGACTCTTTCTGTTCATAAGAAAAGCGGTGGCACCACATCCCTAGATAAAGGGGCTTCTCAGTTCTCGTCTTCTTGCTCTTCAGCTTTGTCTGCCTCTGTTGAGAGCTTTCGTCTTTCTAAAGCAACTTTCTCCTGTCATTAGATGTGACACATGAGTTTCATACCACCTACATATTTGCTTCCACTTTCAAACATGTTCTGTGTTCTGATGCATCTTTGATCTTCAAGATTTTGATTTCTTTTTTTTCTAATCTAAATTTTCTCACATGACCAAATCTGCTTCAATTTTTCTCCACAGCAATTCCAGGTTTGAAACTATTTAGTCCTCAAGTCTTGGGGATGCCTTTGACCCATATCTCTCTTTCAACTCTGATATCTACTCTGTCAGCAAAGACTCAGTTCTAACAAAATGCATTTATTTCTCCTGTTGCCCTTACTTGTTATTGCCTCTTCCTACCTTCTGGATAATTTTTTTTTCAGTCCTCACTGAGTTTCATTGAGTCTCTATTAACCTCTCATTGACTTAATATCAACCCACTCACTAGAGTGGAACTATTGAAAGACAATCAAATCATCTGTCAAATCCCTATTTCAGTCCCAGGAAATTCAATAAAGCTTAGGTATCGGTTATATGAAATGTCAAAATTTAGTAGCTAAAAGTAGTTTTTGCCCATATGTCTTTAGGGTGGCTGTCCAGGCTTGGCTTGTCGGATCACGGTTCTTCCTTACCTAGATAAGTTACAAATTAACCAAATAAACTATGTCAGTTCTGAGGGTAGACCTTAAGAATCTGCATGCTTTCCCATTTGTGCTTTTGTGGCTTTCTCCAAATCTAAAGGACGCTTGGCTCACCCACTAGTCTCCAGATAGGCTACTTAGCCAGGAGCACCCTAGACCAGATTTCCAACCAACTCACATTTGCCTGACTTACTTCAATGAAGAACAACAGAACCATCAAAAAGTACGTTCCATCTAAGCGAGACCACGGCAAGCATATGGATCAGAAGGGCCACTGCTGTCCTCTGTTGGATCCCACCTTTGGTCTGTCCCCAGCAGGACTCTACTCTTTCGCCCTATGTTCTCTCCTGTGCTCCATGCGCATCAGCTCGCTACCTTTCTAGAACATACCAGGTTCCCCTGGTTCCTCTATTCCTTTGCGTTATTTTCTCCTCTCTTTAGATGGTTTTTCCCTTAGAAATCTATGCCACTGTGCACTAATTTCACTCCATACAATTAAGCGGACAGAAGTCACATGATGCAGCTTGCCACAGACACAGTGCTAGTTAGGGGTGCTATTGAAGCTATGAAACAAAATGGCCAAAGCTAATTGGAGTGGAAAGGTTTTTGTTTGGCCTATGCTTGCACCTTGTTGTTCATCACTGAAGGAAGTCAGGACAGGAACTCCAATAGGGCAGGAATCTGGAGGCAGGAGCTGATGCAGAGGCTGTAGAGGAATGCTGGGTACTGGCTCGTGCCTCATGGCTCACTCAGCCTGATTTATGTATAGAAGCCAGGACCGCCAGCCCAGAGAGGGTACCACCTACAATGATCTGGGCCCTCCACCCTCAATCACTAACTTAGAAAATGCTCTACAGCTAGATCTTACGGGGTCATTTTCTCAGGCAAGGCTCCTTCCTCTTAGATGACTCTACCTTGTGTCGAGCTGACTTAAAACTAGCCAGCACAAACACCCAAGAAGTAATTGATAAATTCTTGCTCATCACTTCAGATCTACTCACTATTTTGTTCTTCTATCTACCACAAATGCGTAGCTTATTTTGTAGTCTCCCCCTTAACGTATTACCTATCTATCTCTTTAAAGCATGTACTCCCCAAGGGCAGGGCACTATGGGAGCCTTCTCACTGCGCTGCGGCATTCCTGTGGTCTGATGAGGTATCTGTAAAGTGCATACTCTTGACTAATCAATGAATGAAAACCGGAAACGAAGACTTACTGGGAAGCAGCAGAGCTGAGTTTGATGTTTAGCCATGTGACTGAAGGGATTGCTGGAACTTCACTGTTTCTTTCTCCATTTCTTGTTTTTCGTCTCTGCCCAAAGAACTTCAACATTTCATATAACTCTAACATTCTGCGTGTATGTACATAAACTCAGACTCGAATGGCAGAACAGTTTCGAGTGTGCACATACAGGAGGGGGGAGGGGGAGGGGGAGAGGAGAGGGGGAGGGGGGAGGGAGGAGGAGGGAGGGGGGAGGGGGATGGAGAGAAAGAGAAAAGAGATGAGATGATGCTTTTTGGTAGTCTTTTTGTTTTTTATTTTGTTGGGGTTTTTGTTTTGTGTTTTCTTTTTTGGAAAATTTAAAAACTTTCTTGATCCCTAGTTAGAACAGTGGTTCACTGGTTTCACAAATAAACAGGATCTAAAGTATAGCATAGAAATATATAAAACTTTCTTGGTTGTTCCTGTTATTGAGGAAACTTAATTCATAAGTCCTTCCATTTCTCAAGTGGTGTTTTGTCTTCATCGTTTTGAAGACTCATGACACCTCTTAAAAATGTTTTCTCATTTGTAATTTTTAGAATGTAATTAGTTAATTTAGAGAACTTCACATGTAAGTCCTGTATTTACATCACCCCAACCCGTTCGTTCCCTCTAATTCCTCCTGTGCCCTCCCCAAAACTCATAGCCTCTTACTCTTGCTACACACACACATGCAAACACACACTGATAAGTACAACCTTCTCATCCCTCTAGTGATGCTCACAGACTCACTTGGGGTTTTCTTCTCACTGTTGAGAAGACTGATCCTCCTCTTAGCAGTCATTAACTGCCCATAGCTTTCCATCTAAGCATGGGCCTTGTGAGATTCTCCCATCCACGTTAGTGTGTGTGGTCATTTACCAGGAATTGTTAAAGCAACCATACTGTTGAGACATTGTACGTGTAGGTGTAGCTTTCTCTCTGTCATATACAGAAGATACTATTTGACAGGAGACATCTTGGTCCTCTGGCTCATACAACCTTTCTTCGTTCTCTTCTATGATGTTCCCTGAGCCTTAGGCATAGGGTCTGAGTTGTAGATTAATCAGTTGAGGCTGGGCACCCCACAGCCTGTTAGTCTCTGCATGTTGACCAGCTATGACTTTCTGTAATGGTTTCTGTCTTCTGAAAAACTTCTTTGTGGAAGTGAGAGATACACACATCTGCAGTCATAAGGGTATTTAGAATAGAGTTAAAAATTATACTGGCTTAGGAAAGTGGTTCCTCCTAGGGCCCCTGACCTTATCAAACATTACCATGGTTGGTTAGGTTTACAGCGCCAGGTATGAATTCCCTCCTATTGAGCCTCAAGTCCAATTAGACAACTGTTCATTAACCCCAGACAATTTGTCACTCTCACGCTGTCTTTCCTTGTTGCAGTCTCCAGGCATCCGAGTTGGGAAGGCTATTCATCACCTTCTCCATTGGCAGCTAGAATAGCTCCTTCTGGGGCTCTAAGAGTTAGTCCTCAGGGAGAAGGCTTCTAGTTCAGATCCAGCTGGATTCCTTCAAACCCTCTGTCCAAAGTGCATCTCTTTCAGCAATGTCTAGGATGTAACCAAAGGCAATGGCAAAATTGTTCGGGGGCGGGGGTGGTCTTTGAATTCCCTTGACTAGCAACTCAATAAGGAGCTTCCTATACTGGGCACTTGGATTTTTTTTTTAGGTAATCTATGGCTTCTGGGAGGAGCATTATCACCCCAAATGACGTAGATTTATGAACACACACACACACACACACACCACTTACACAGATATTATATGTGATATAAGTAAACAGAATAATATTACCTATAGCCTATTTAAATGCCATTAGTATTTATCTTGTTATTTTAATGATAAAATTTATTTAGATTGGGAAAATGGCCAAGAAAGCAAAAATTTTAAGGGTAAATAGAAGTTCATATTTTGATTAAGTTGCAGTTTCCAAGGTCATTGAGGAGGGATGATAGGAAAGCCTACTGAGCTAGTACTGAGAGAATTCTACTGAGAGATGACAATCCAAGCCCACAGTTCCACTCCTGCATCCCATGTATGGACTAATCTCCTTTCATACTGTAGTGGAGTTAGCAATCTTTCTGGCTAATGGCCTCAAAGTCAAGCAGTTTTTCAGTTCTCTTGGTATTTCCAAAACTGGCTCTTCTGTTATGTATATTTCTATAGAGCTGAACCACTGCCCTTGCTATCTTCTACCTAGTCCATTGCAGTGCCTTGATACGTTGATATGCCTCTTCACATCTGCATTCAACAATAACAGGTAATAAATGGTGAACTGGCAAGTATAGGCTCAACTACTGAATTCCTCTGTGAAATGTATAATATGACATGTGTTTCTATCAATATTTAGCCCTCACAAAAGTAATGCAAGGGAATAAGCTAATCATTTGTATTGTAACTGTGGCCAAAGGAACTTACATAAGAAAGAGTCTATTGGGGTTGTGCAGGTAAACATGAAGCTGGAGCAGGAGAGGAAAGCTTTCATCCCTATCCCCACACGAGAAGCAGAGAGAGCTAACTGAAAGTGGGTGAGCTTTTGAAACCTCCAAGCTCACTTTCTGTGACACACCTCCTCCATACTTCCCAGTCCTTCCCAAACAGTTCCACCAACTGGGGACCAAACATGCAAATTCATGAACTTATGAAGGCTATTCTCATTGAAACCAAAACCATTAGAGAGAGAACCTTATATCTTTTTTTTTTGTGGCTGATGAAACTGTAGCCTAGCAATGAATTACTTGGAAGGGGCGTGGGTATTACTGGAAGAAGCAAGAAGTGAACAGAGCTGTCTAGCCCCAGATACATGCTCCAGGTTCTTGAGTTCTGCTGAACTATCTCACTCTGAGGCCTCACACATGGTTGACTTCCTGCGATAGTCTTTCTCTTTTTCAAGTGCTAACCTCTCCTCATGTTTTAGGAATCAGTTCAATGTGCAGGGGGGCCTAGGTCCAGCCATATATGTTGTTTGGTTGGTGGTTTAGACTCTGAGATTCCAAAGGGTTCAGGTTAGTTGACTCTGGTGGTCTTTTTGTAGAGTTCTTATCCTCTTCAGGGTCCTCAATTCTTCCTCTTATTCTTTCTTAAGAGTCCCCAAGTCCCATCCACTGATTAGCTATGGGTGTCTGTAACTGTCAGCTGCTGGGTGGAGCTTCTCAGAGAACAATACACTCCTGGCTGCAAGCATAACAAAGTTTCATTAACAGTGTTAGGGATTGCTCAAGTTGGCTAGGGATAGGTCTCAAGTTGAGGCAGTTATTGGTTGGCCATTCCCTTAGTCTCTGCTCCCTCCCGAGAGCCTGCATTTCTTGTAGACAGGATAAATTTTGGGTTGAAAATTTTGTGGGTGGGTTGAAGTCTCTATCAATACACTGGGGTTCCTGCCTGGCTACAGGAGATGGCTTCTACAGGTTTCATATCTCCAATGTAGTGAGTCACAGATAGGGTTGCCCCCAATGATTCTTGGGTGTTTCCCTTATCCCAGGTCTCTGTCTTGTCCTGGAGATGCCTTCCCACCTCATCGCTCCCATCAATTTCAGATTTCCACTCATTTTCATGACCATCTAGCCATCTCTCCTGTCGTTCCCCACACCTGATCCTGAATTCCGTTCTTCCCCTCCCTATTCTCCTTCCATCCCAGTTCCCTCCCTCCATCTGCCTCTTAAGACTTTTATTGCCCCTTCTAAGTGATATTCAAGCTTTCTTGCTTGAGCCTTTCTTCTTGTTTAGCTTCTTTGTGTCTGTGGAGTATAGCATTGTATCTGTATTTTATGGCTAATATCCACTTATAAGTGAGTATATATCTCATGTCTGGGTGGGTGTGACTGGAGAGAATGTGATTGGCTGGGAGAAGTGAATAAGTAAAAAATTTAATTTAAATTTTAAAAATGTCCTTTAATAGACATAAGAAAAAAAGAAAGAATCGGTTCAAGTGCTTCCATGGACTCCTTATCTATTTCTTTTATTTTTATGGGTGTGGTATGTGTGCACATGGAGGCCAGACATTGATGCAAGAGTGTCTTCAGTAATGGTTCTTCATCTTGGCTTTTGAAATAATCACTGGACCTGGAGCTCACAGATTAGAGCAGCTAGCTGGCCAGTGATCTTCAGGGTTATTTTCGTCTTCATCCCCTTAGGCCCTGAGGTTAGAGATGCATGCCACCTTGCCTAGCTTTTGGACACATCTAGTGCTTGATCTAAACTCAGCTCTTCATGTTGTGATGCAAGCACTTCATTGACGGAGACATCTACCCAGACCCCTATGTTTTTCTTTCTAGAAATCATGTTCTGTTCCTTCATGTGTCCCCTTCTATGTGCTGTTACTGTACTTACCGCTTTATACTCTTGAGATGGCTAGTCTGGCTGTTAACTTGACATACCTAGGAAGGAGGAACTTCCGTTGAAGAATTGTCTCTACCATATTGGCTTGTGAGCATGTCTGTGAAGGCATTTTCTGGTTTTTTGATTTTTAATCCGTGTCAGAGGGCCTAGCTCTCTGGAATTGGTACCATCCTTAGGCATGTGTCTTGGGTTGTAGCAGATCTGGAGCCTGGGAGAAAACTAGTACAACAGCCTTCCCCTTGGCTTCTGCTTCAATCTCCAGCTTTGGCTCCCCTCAAAGATGACCTGGAAGATAAAATAAACCTGTTCCTCCCCAAGTTGTCTTTGGTCAGTGCTTATACAGAATCAGAAAGCAATTTAGAACAAGTCTGACGTACCAACACTCGCTATGTTATCAGAAGACAGCCAAACCTCCATTTGAAGAGAACTAAGAGAAAGCCATAAAGGTCCTACTTCTAGTCATAATTTCTAGGTGTCCTTCTGGTCTTTTTATATGAAAGTATGAATCACTGTATTCAGTTTTTATGGGTAGTATTTTAATAGTTAAATACATTCATATATGACAAACATTATTATGACAACAGGACAAATTGACACCTGATGCCTGACAGTTCCCAACTGCTAGAAAATAAGTGACCACAGTTTTTGTCACGCTAGACATCAGACTTTGTGTCCTCCTGCTTAGGGCTGTCATCAGCGATCCAGAACAAGATTTAAACACCAAGAACCAAGAGAGTTCTCATGTCCCTCCAGACTCAGAGAGGGCGCCGCTTCGAGTTAGGAGACGAACCCTGCATGATACAAAGTAAGAAAAGCTTAATGACGTATTGCTAAAATAGGCTTCTGCACCTTGCTGAGAAACATTTGAATCTCTTTAAAACTATGTACAGAGAAGTAAACGTTTTGCGATTTCAGATCTCAGTGCTCTCTCCTTTGCATTCTGTTTTTTTTTCACATTTATAATTTAGAAGGGAAGTCATAATTCTTTTCAGGATAATATAGGTGAACATGAATAATATAGTAATTTAGACATCCCTGCCTGAGGAGGGTACCCTGCCTGGCTAAGTCAGATCCATGTACTATATGAAGAATTAATTTGCAGAGGAAAAAGGTCATAATTCCACACACGCCCTGCCTCTTAAGTAATCCACATCTTTTTAGAACCGTAGGAGGGTAACCACACCTTTATAAAGACTCTCAATGAAGTATGCCTGATGTCTTTTCCGCAATATTATATTAAGGAGTATCATCCACGTTGTGATTTATAGTTGCTTTTTCCCTTCGCTGTTATTTCACTATATGAATACACAACAACTCACCACTCACAGGTGCTTGACATGCCTGCTGGCTTATGAATTATACTATGGCAAACTTTGTCGTGCATACCTTCTGGTAAGCACACACACTCCCTTATGTTGGGTGAATATTTAGACTCTCTGGGCCTTGCAGTTTGCCCGTGTTCAGCTCCACAAGGCGCTGGCAAATAATAACCCCAGTGAAGTGACATGATGAGTGGTCCAACAGCTACACATCTTTGCCAGCACTTGATTTTGCCTATGATTTTTCATCGCGTTTCTTCTACAGGATGCGTATTGGTGATTTTAATTTGCATTTCACTGGAGGCTAATGATGATTAATTTTCACCTATGCATTGTTCATTCAGATGTCCTTATGCGAAGTTTGAACGACTTACTAACCTAGTCTTACATTGTTAGTGCCTTTTGTATCTTCCTATAATAAGTCTGAGCCTACTTGAAAGTAAATATCAACCGGAATGTTGAATTTTCCTATATCGTATGTTAAATCGTCAAAACTGCACAGATAATTCGAACCCTTCTTAGCAGTCTCACCCCTCTGGATTCTTGCACCTGTCTTAGTATTGCTTCATAACAAATACATGCATCTTGTTTAAAGTCAGTCCAGCTCAGAAAAAAACCATGGGGTTTCTTGATTAGGATTTTCAGATCCAAGGCTCCCCACTCTTTTGTTCTCCCCCAGAGAAGGATATTCTCTGCTTCTTAAGTTGGCAGCAAGATTGGCGTGTGTAGGGTCTCTTCTCTTTTCTACAGAGGCTACTTCCTGCAGACACACATTTCGCCCTTGTACTGAATTTTGTAGGTTTCTCCTCAGTACAAAGAAGCGGTTAGTCCTTGTAACTCTAGTGCCAAACACTTATCTTATTATTGCTCTGTGCCTACACCATATTTTCCCACCAACTTTGTGAATGACAGAATTCACCTTTGGTATTCCAAGTGCTCAATTCCTCTTTTTGAACTGGTTCAGGATTTACATACGACAACATTTGTACTACTCACCGGGTGCCTGGAATTCAATATGGCTCTCTGCATTTCATAATACAAATATGGTTTTACCTGGGTTCTTTTCTGATGATACCAGGCTCCTTGATGCAACCAGCTCAGCTTCCCAGTGTTGCTCACCACTAAGAAATGAGAAAATACAATGGTTAGAGCAAGGGCATCTGCCAGACACGTCGTGTGCTCTTATGGCTGCAAGCAACTACTTACCTTGTCTTCCATGATCTTGCTTCATTTCTTTTATTGCAAGCATTAAACAAACCTATGCATAGTGAAGTAAATTAATAGTAACTAGTGTCTACAAAATCCTCAATAAATGGTGCTTGGTATTGTCCCTGCTATTTCCCCAGCATTTAAAGTCATCCCAGGCACGTAGCAAATGTCCAGAGACTGCATAGCACCAGTGAATCACATTGAACTGAGAGGATGGCGCCTCCATGGCCCCTCTCTGTCCCCAAAAGTTTATTGAGTTGGTAGGCTTTTGTTTCCTGTCTCCAGCTTCCTTTCTCTGGGACCTAGACATTACAGAGGGAAAACGACCTGTTTTCAATGACTGTGGCCCACGTGCTTACTATTATACCATTGCTATTTTATTATTCCTTCGGTTTTCATGAAACTAGACGAACAGTAATACTACATCACCGATTTATCTCTTAAGAGAAAGGACATCATTAAGTAGAGGGTGTCAGAGCATGTGTATTCGAGTTCTGCTTTGTATTTTAAAGACTATTAGGGGTAGGAGTCTTCAGAAGGTCAGCAGTGCTATCTATGTGAAGATACACACACACACACACACACACACACACATATATATACATATATAAACACATACACATAAATACATACACAGAGCTCGGTTCATCCAGCACCCCTTCCCATTATTGTTTCAGTAAGGAGTAGCATCAGTTGCCTGTAATGGAAAACCTGATTGATAGGGCTCAAAGTGTCAGGATTTATGTTTCTACATAATCAGCTGCTTGGAAGTAGGCGTATGTTGGTTTTGGTCCTACGGCCCAATGATGCTGCAGCCCTGGACTGTATCCCTTTAATGTTCATAGGTAGGGCACTCTGCCCATCCTCCCATCGCAAAGGACAAGAATCTTCCATGTTGAGATTATGAGTGAAACCACTTTCCTTGGTCCCAATCACAAGCACTAAGAGAAACTAAGAGCTGTGTCATGTAGAAGGCTCAAGAACCGGGTTAGAAATGGCATTTGAGCTGATGTGCAGGCTCAGGTCTGCAATCCCAGCATATGGCAGGCCAGCATATACTATACAATAAGGGCATGATAGAAAAGAAAAGGACAGGAACTAGAAGGAGAAGGGAGCAGAGGGAGAAGAGAGGAGAGGCAAGTCTCTGACAGCCCTGCGACCAAAACTGCCGTGCTCTGTTCAGGATGCAACTTTGCAGCACCTTGTCCCTACAGGTGCTGGCATGATGGGCTGATGCAGTGTAGACTGTGTGTGGCTCAGGGTCCTATGTCTTTTGTGTCTTTATATATTCACAATCTGAATTTTATTTCTCCTCTTTAATCTGTGACATCTCAAAATATTGCCATAGCCCCTTGGTGCGTTTGTTGTTTCTGTCAAGTGCAAATGTTTAAAACAATAACTTACAAAATGTCTTGACAGGATAAGGACCAACTCCACATTAACAGAAAATGACCTTTCTCAGAAAGTCGAATTCGAAGGGAGGGTCTTATCAAGGTAACTGTCATTTTATTCATTCTGTTTTTACTTCTGTGATTATAGTAAATATTATATATATATATATAATATTTTCTTTCATAGTAGTGTCAAGATTAGACAAATCATACCAATACTGAAAAATGGGAACTTTTGGGTTATATAATTTTAAGCAATAACTATTACTGTTGTATAAAATAGGACACTCTAATGCAAATATTTTGACTAAGAGTATTTAAAAATTGATCTTAAACATCTTTGGAAAAGATTGGATATACTTGTGTATTACTAATAGACGTTTCTTATCTATTTAGAAGTTAATTCTCATGTCAGACAGTTAATTTAGTTTTAATAATTTGAGTTCACAGATTACCAATAAAGGCAATGGCAAAGAAGACGGCTTTTAATTTTCTTTTTTTTTAACCTCAATCTCGCGAACTTTGCAAGCCCAGAGTTTTTAAAGGCCTTCTGCTTTGCCCTAAGTCTCTGCTGATTAGCTACCTGACTTGTGACAGGGCTGGATCCTCTCCACTGTTAAGCTTATGACTTTTTCTTTATCCAAATCTAACTCAGGTGGGGGTTTCTGCAAGCCATAGCCTATTTCCCCTAAATCTGCGGCGAGCCTTCTTCGTTGCCGCACACCAGAGGGAGTTACGGTACTGCGACTTGAGATGTATGATCTTAGTTTATTACTTACTTAAAAAAATCATCATATTTAAATACCATTGGCATCATCTTGTTTTTCTAGAAATGGACGCGATGCCTGCAGGGAGCTGATTGGGTTTTTCTTTACCCACGACCAGTCCCTAACCGTGTATGAATATCGAATGTTCGGGAAAAACAGGTGTGCTCTGAAACCCTGTCAGACCCCGGGGGACTGCTTCCGGGAGGAGCTGAGTGCCTTCATTCTTGTTGTTGTCGCTTACCTTCCAGAACAAGCGTGCTTCCTTTTATTAAAAAAGACACTTATTGTCATCAGTGTGGACGCGGGAGAGGAAAGCCGTATGAGCTTGCTGACTTCTATACCGTAAGTGTGTGTGTGTGTGTGTTTGTGCGCTTGAACATGTGTGTGTGTGTGCACTGCCACTGCACTGTAACTGTGTGTGTGTATGTGTGTGTGTGTGTGCTGACACTGCACTGTGTGTGTGTGCTGGCACTGTACTATAAGAGTGTGTGTATGTGTGTGTGTGCTGGCACTTTACTGTAAGTGTGTGCATGTGTGTGTGTATGGTACTGTACTGTAACTATGTGTGTGTGCTGGTGCTGTACTGTAAGTGTGTGTATGCACACGTGTGTGTGCAGGCACTTTACTGTATATGTGTGTGTGCTGGCACTGTAGTGTAACAGTGTGTGTGTGCTGGCAATATACTGTGTGTGTGCGTGCGTGTGTGTGCTGGCACTGTGTTGTAGGGATGTGCATGTGCTAGCATTATACTACAAGTGTGTGTATGCTGGCACTTATAGTGTAAGTTTGTGTGTGTGTGCTGTTACTTACTGTGTGTGTGTGTTGGCATTACACTGTTAGAGTGTATGTATGCTGGAATTATACTGTGTGTGTATTCTGGCACTATAGTGTAAGTTTGTGTGTATGCTGGCACTGTAGTGTATTTGTGTGTGTGGGCTGGCACTATGCCGTAACTGTGTGTGTGTACTGGAGTTATACTGTTTTAAGTGTGTGTGTATGTTGGCACTATAATGTAAGTTCAGGTGTGTGCTGGCACTTAACACCATGTGACAGACTACGTGCATCTGTCTGGTGTGGAGCAAGGCCACTGGTCCTGTTTATTTTCCTGATCAGAGACATTTATTTGTGTGAACGGTGAATGGTTGATAAATCCCAATCCTCCAAACCTTAAGCATAGTATTTATTTTCCATAAACATTCACACATTGTTTCTTAACGGAGACTGTTGCCATGAGAACTTGCTTTTTGCTACTGCTGTAAGTCTCTGTACAAGGTCTGTTCTGCATAAGTGCCTACCTCAGTAGTTCTGGGAGCCCACAGAAGGAGAAAGTTGATTTTCTTTGTGGAGTGGCACTGCTCTCTGGAGCTGTGCCTTTGACAGCCTGTCTTCTTGTCGCTCTCCGACCTTCCTGAGTGTGCTGAATTTTCAAATCACATACAATGAAACATTCTCTGTACTGATCATTCATGTAATGATTTTATATATGTTCACACTCTCAACATTGGAGATGGAACACCGAATAAGTCAGAGTCATTCTTTGCTTTGTGGCCATGCAGCATATTGGGAATAGGATAGGAGTCAGATTGGAGACACGGTGGGTCCAGTTCTATGGGCTTTAAGAGTCTCTGGAGAAAGTGACATCTGAGGTTAATTAAGGACTCTGTGAGGTTACAGGAAAGGCTTCAAGGTAAAGAAGAACACGTATAAAGAATAAAGCCAAGAAAGGACATAGATTACCTGGAGAAATGAAAGTAGGTCAATTTGTTTGGACTATAGACATAAAGAAAGTAAACTTGGGCTGGAGAGATAGTTCAGTTGGCAGAGAGTTTAATCTTGCTAGCAGGAGGGACCTGGGATCAAACTCCAGAACCCATGTAAAAATTTCAGGACTTGTTAGCACCAACTTGTAATCTCAGCGCTGGGGTGACAGAGACAGGTCAATTCTAGGCTTATTCTCTGGACATAGCTTAGCCTGGTCAGTGAGTTCTGGACCACAGAGAGACCAGGTCTCATTAAAAACCAAAGAGTGGATAGTACATATGATATGCTACCTGAGGCTGTCCCATGACTTGTACACACAGACACCTATACTCCTCATGACTAAATCAAAAAGGAGCCTTATACCAAAGAGCAGTGGGTAATATACCACTGAAAAGAGAATGTGGGTAGAGTGGAGAGACTGCATGACAAGATTTTTAATTTAGAAACATCTCTCCGAATTCAATGTGTAGAATGGTTTGAAGAGTAGGTACGTAAGGCCTGGCTTGGATGGATATTAACATAGGAGAGAACTCATGGCGTCTTGAGAAGCATGTGGCAGTGGCTACAAAAGTAGTTAGAAGACAACCCTTTAGGAGATACAGTCATTGAGATGTGATGACCGAGTCAGGTAGGAAGAAACTCTAGACATCTTAATCTTGGGTTAGACAGTCCATTCCTGTGACATTCCTACTTGACTCTTGATGTCCAGAGAAAGCCAACTCCACATCCTTTTGTGCAATGTAAAGATAACATGCTTACTTTCTATTGAAGGTGACAGTCAATACCAGTTCTGAGCTGCTGCTGCAACTTGGTATAGTTGCTGATCTACTCTTACCCTCCGTCCTCATATGAACCAAATGTGGAAATTCATGTCCTTCTTTAGCTCAGAAAAGTGAGGAAGAAATATGTCATATCATATCCACAGCCAAGAGCAGAGAACGATGAACCAATAAGGCACACATGCTAGGGCTTAACACGCTTTCTCTACTGTTAGACATCCCAGGATCCCCTGTCTAGGGAATGATGCCACCCACAGTGGATGGGTCTTTCCAACTGAACGTTATGAAAACAACATCCCCTCATGCTCACAGGTCAGCCTAATATAGACAGTCCCACACTGAGACTCCTTTCCTGGGAAATTCTGCATATTATGTCATGTTGACCAAACCTATCATCAC